CAGAAAATCAGACATCGTCACAGGTAGAAAAGACAAGCATGGTATAAGGCGGCTCAACAGAGGTAATTTGTCATATCGCGTGGCTTTGAGCTCCGATTGGGAGGGTAACGAATGGGTGTTATTCGCCGCACATCAAAGTAATCCTCCGGCGTTTAGGTGCAGGGTGCTTGAAGTTCCTTTTGTTGTGTGCGCGAGTTTTCTCTGATCCTAAGGTATGTCTGATTATCTCTCGGTATTCTAATAGCGTAATTTAGGCTCTTCGTTTTGTTGTGTTATTTATTGCGTTCCTATATTTAAATACCACCCAGTAGAAAGCAAGAAAATTTACCCAAGAGACGGTCGTGGTTTTCGAGAGATGAATATTTCCTACAAGTATGTGCAGGATGCATGGTTGCGTCGCTGTGAATAACAGAACAACTGCGAATTTTTCATCGCCTTTTTAGGATATTTATATATATATTTCTATCCTCACGTCCGATTATCATTTCGTCTTTGAATGTAATTGATAACAAATTTCCTAGACCAAGCGAAACTTATGAAGACTAGTAACGCATTTCTTATTTAATTTCAGATATATTGAAATTAACCAGACCTATTTAAGGGAAGAAGAAACCCCAGAATAGAGACAATACATTATCAAGTAAGTATTCTGAAGGTTAAACTGTATTTCATGCCTCACTTTTTCTTCACCTTTAATATTTCTTATCTTTGAGAAGATATTGTGAACATACCGAGGATATATTTTGGTAATATTTGACAGTTATAAAGTAAATGAAAAAAATCATTTTATCAAAATATGGTAGGCTAAATCAATGAGTAACATTTACAATTTTATTAAAGCAAAAGTATTTCGTTCATTTATTCGACCAAAAATCTAAGTACGCCAATTCCATTGCACCATAAATTAGGAAATAAAAACAGTAAGCATTTCGACTTGATCATGTTCATTGTAATATGTGGCCATTAGTTTAAAATTTATGTTAAATAAATCGACCAAAAGATATGCATTTTTAGAAAACAATCAACTATTTCCTCTGTGTTTACCTAATATTTTTCCTTGGAGTTGTCCCACAGTTAAAGACAAAAATGTAAATATATTTTTTCGTTAAATTAATGAAAAAATTAATCACTCAATTTTTCGACTGTGGTGGAATCACAATTTTGATTCATTGTTTCATTTTATATATGGACAGAAAATCATTATTTGACCGTGGAAGTATTGATAAAATTTCTTTAAACAGATAGGCTTACTAACTAAACGATTTAACGAAATAACAATAACCAGATGTTGAATTAATTCATTATAATTGCCGTGTAGCTTGGGGTTATACCATGACAAATAGGTTGTAAATTAAGAAAGGTTTTCAACCTAGCAATTTTACAAAAAAGAAAGAGATGTGCAACCTTTTTTACCCAGTATGGTAATTGAATGTAGTTCAAATTAATTTACCACATGGTGTCTCTATGAACAGCTTTCAAACAAAATACATAAAAAAATAAAGAAAATATTTTATTCGCTTGTGTGTCAATTCAGAGATAACTTAGTCCGAGTGAAAACTTGTTAAAATGACACTGTCATTTCTAATATGTTCATGATTCTGTAATATGCGAATCAGATGTGTTTGCACTCTATTCACCTATGCATAGGTCATCTACATATACACATGAGCAGTGGTGAAATATGAGTTACTGTGCGTGACAGCAGGTACTTGTACATTTTAAATGAAAAAGATAATGAATTGAAATATCTTACATTTCATTATCCACACACCTGTTTCGATGGAAGATTGCTGTACTCTCACAAGATTTTCGTGCGCTATGGTTCCCTCTAGAACTTGAGACAATTTGTGAATCCTCAACTTGAACAAAAATCAATTAATAGTTTATTTTTACTTCGAACTGGATACGATGTGTTGTGAATCTGCAATCTTGAACTAAAATCTTTCGTGTATTTTAATTTTTTGGAACCAAAACATTTGCTCTTTATTCACATAATCGAACTAAAGAAAGTGCTTTGCATTTTTTATTTTTAAACTAAATCAATCTGTCGCTTACTTTTATTCTCGAACTAAAGGCAATTTTTGGCATTTTCATTCATGTGTTTTTTTTTTTTTGTTTGTTTGTTTTTTTTTTTTTTTGTATGTTTGTGTGCCTTGATTTACAACGATGTTAAAGATAAGAGGGATTTTGAAATGCCCTAAAAGTGTCTTTCTTCCTGAGTCTTCATTGCTAATGGTGTTAAGCTATTGTAACACGGGGAAGAAATATTCTCACGACTTGTCATTGTTCAAGGTGACAAAGTCTTCGTTACATGTACACCTGGGTTGTTAACTGTCTCTATAGGTCGTCATTGTTTTTCAAAATAGCACTCCAATTCATCTGTAATTGTTCGTTCTTTTGTAAGTCGTCAATTGCACGGTCCTAATGTTATCCCATCCCGATAATAGTTTTTGCACCTTTCTCTTAATTAATATTCACTTATTACATTGAAGGTCAAATAATTTTCAATTGTTCTCAGTAATATTCTTTCACGCTTTTCTCCACACTGAATGCGTGCGTGGAAAACAGGGGCACTAGAAAAGGGTCATCGTGCCTCGCGCTTTGTATTCTATCACGTACTAGGAACTGCGTCTTTCATGTCAATCAGCGGGGGGATACTTACGGACGAGGTGTACAGCGGTGGGGTTGTTGACAAACAATTATCCCGAGGAGGGCTTTTGTTTGGACTCGGATCCACCAGGAGCTGAGGCCCAGGTGTGTGGGGCGACAAGTTTTAAGGGCATTCATAAAAGAGAGGATTTGATTACACCTCTCACACCTAGCCTTTTGTCGCGTGGGAGTGCGTGCTTATCAGGCCTCTTGGAGTATTCCCCTCCTTTCTGTGACAGAGATGAGAAGTTTAGATATTCGCGTTCTCCCGCTGAGGTACTATTGAGGGTAAATGGGAACATTGTACCTGAACGCGTAAAAGTAGAGCATTGCTGTGGTTTATCCTGCATGCCTTCACTTATAAGTTAATTTGTTCAATGCTGCCCTTAAACAATGAATTTTTTTCTATTATTTATTTGTGTTCGTCTTTTTTTTTTTCATTTAATCTAACTTAGCATTCAGGAACCTCTTTTTTATTTTAAGCTGACAGTTTTATTGCTATCAAAATTTCCCTTAAGCGTACGAATGATTTAAATGGAGTGAGAAATATGAAATGAAAACACAATGCATACCGTTTACTGTAAGTAAGGTAATATTCGTTCGAAAACGATATCTAAAAAAACAACAAACTGTAGATATGTAACCAAAAAGTGATATTCTAACAACGTTAATAAATTGTTTAATAAAAACTGATTTGGAATTATGGCAGAACTGCACATCACAGGTAGATAAGATAAACAAACAACAGAATGATTTTAAAAGGTAAAGAAAATATTTCACCCGCCCTTTTATCGTTATCAAAAGGATAATGCGTAGACCTTTTGTCTTATACTTTTATATTTCGATGATGAATTTCTTCTAAGTTCTAAATGTCTTCTAACTAAAGTGTTCATTTTATTGAGTGTACTTGTCTGAGAAGTAAGATTACAAACAATATTCTAACTTACTGAGCACAGTGAGTATACAGCTGTCTAAAAATGAATATACAGAGGTTATATTTTATGGTAGCATCTTGGTTGGTTTGTACTTATAATGATCGCTGTTTATAGTTCCTTGTCTGACATCCGTTATTAGTATTTGTACAGCAAAGGTCTATAAAACGCAAAATACATCCAGAAAACTAGCACTTATTTCTTGACGTTGATATTGTCAGGTTTAGCTAAACTACTGCGCAGGAATGGCGTACACCCTTATGTTAACTTAGTACACGCAGATAAAAAGGGAGAAATATATTATAAAGAAGCGGAAGGACATAAAATCTTTAATTATTGGATGTGCTCTCTTTCCTAACGAGAATGTAATCATCACGACAAAAAAAAACCCGTAGTCACCCTCACAGAAGGCCGGAAATGAAGAATTATTTATCGTTTATATTGATAGGCAAGTGGGGCGTGGTGTGGTCTAAAGACACTTCTATTAAACGCTTCTATTGATACGCGAAAGGTATGCTGTCACAAAAGTGAAAAGTCGAAATGATAACATCATCAGTGCAAGTCACCGTCAGAACAAGGTAACAATTTGTCCCTGGTCCCGCCCCTAACACCTGTGGGCCCCCTTTAGGTCACGTACACACACCTGGGCCCCGGTCCACGTATTAATTTTAAACCGAAAATTGGTCAAGACTTTTAGACCTTAGTTGAGGTTTATTTTGCTCGAGATATATTAGTAAATGCAATAGTGCACGTAATTTACAATGGGAAAGACTTGGCTAATGTTTCATACTTATACCTAGTTTATATAAGTGGACTATTTGGGAATTTTCTTAAATGAAGCACACGGAATTTTGGCTCTAAAACTTTTCAGGTAAAAATTCTTTTGTGGACTCGGCTGCTAGCTATTCACGTGCACATCCCCATGTGAGATACTTGCCCCGACGGAGATATCATCTAAAACAACGAAATGTATGAAGTTGCAGATTTTTTTCTATCCTACATACTGATGTGGAATAATTTTTGGTTTATTGAAATATTCAATTTTTAGGTTGAATATAAAATAAAATATGACCACATTAACTCAGCGTCCACTCACCAGGGTCACGTCGACCTCTCAACCACGTCAGGTTCATTTTTAGTAAACATTTAAGAAATCCATTTTCAAGGGCCTTGAATTAGCCTTTTGTCATAGAGCTTACATAAGATGTGACGAGATCCAAATTCAGCTCCTGCTTCAGTTTCACTGTCAAAGCTATGTCTACAACCAAGAAAAGGGTCGTTCAAAATCCACTGGCAGGGCCCAGTATGGCTTCCTGTTCTAACGGAACATGTATGGACAGGGCCGGTATTAACAGATACAAAAGCAGGGCTCTGAAGAATGAATAGGGGACTTATAAGAAGCGTGGTGTAACATTCCAGGTATTTGAGGGATGTGTGACCGAGGGTGCACCTGTGGGGTCTTACCATTCGATCAAAGGTTTACGAAACCGGTTCGCTTTTCCTGCCAAGACGAGGATCCATCACTTGAGTTTGTTTCACTCATTTAGGTGACGAGTCCCAGGACGGTGGCTGTACTTCGTGGCTCTGACATTTAACATCGTTCTGAATTTTTTCAAATATTGAATTTTAATGGTATCTGGGAAGTGACTGGATTTAGGCATGAGTGAGTAGGGACGTAGCAAGATGAAATTTATTTATTGACCGAGTACGAGGAATCTTTAATACTTGGATGCGTTGTAAGGGAAGGTGCGTGGATGATTTTCAGGCTGGACAGGTGATTCTTCCCCGTGAGTGAATGGTTTGAAAATCAAAATGTTTTCCCTCCATGTTTTATTTCAAAAAAGTTTTATCCTCCAGACAATGCATTTATGTATAAAACATAGGGAAAATTAATCATTTCCGAAATAATTTTGCACTTAAATGGAGTTTAATTAATTTAGAGTAATTATAGAGAAAAATGAAGTAATTGATGTATATAACATGAGTGCGCTTTATTTGTTTTTAATTATATTNCTACTGAGGTGTACAGCGGTGGGGTTGTTGACAAACAATTATCCCAAGGAGGGCTATTGTTTGGACTCGGATCCACTAGGAGCTGAGGCCCAGGTGTGTGGGGCGACAAGTTTTAAGGGCATTCATAAAAGAGAGGATTTGATTACACCTCTCACACCTAGCCTTTTGTCGCGTGGGAGTGCGTGCTTATCAGGCCACTTGGAGTATTCCCCTCCTTTCTGTGACAGAGATGAGAAGTTTAGATATTCGCGTTCTCCCGCTGAGGTACTATTGAGGGTAAATGGGAACATTGTACCTGAACGCGTAAAGGTAGAGCATTGCTGTGGTTTATCCTGCATGCCTTCACTTATAAGTTAATTTGTTCAATGCTGCCCTTAAACAAATGAATTCTTTCTCTATTCTTCTTTTTTTTCATTTGATTTAACTTAGCATTTAGGAACCTCTTTTTTATTTTTAGCTGACGGTTTCATTTCTGTAATTATATATTGCTATCAAAATTTCCCTTCATCGAATGACTGATTTAAATGGAGTGAGAAACATGAAATGAACAATACAGTGCATGTTGTTTACTGCAAGTCGGGTAGTATTCGTTCGAAAACGATATTTGAAAAGCAAAACTGTAGATATGTAATCAAAAAGTAATATTCTAACAATGTTAATAAATTGTACAATAAAAACTGATTTGGAATTATAGCAAAGCGGCACACAACAGGTAGATAAAAAAAATCAACAGAATAATTTTAAAAAATAAAGGAAATATTTTCGCCGCCCTTTTATTATCAAAGGGATAATGCGGAGACCTTTTGTCCCATACTTTTATATTTTGATGATGAATTTCTTTAAATAATTCTAAATGTCTTCTTACTACTGTTCATTTTATTGAGTGTCAATGTATGAGAAATTAGATTGCAAACAATAGTATAATCAACTGAGCAAAGTGAGTCTAAAGCCGATTTAAAAGCAAATATTCAGAGGCTATATCTTAAGGTAACATTTTGATTGTTAGCCTACTTATAATGATCGCTGTTTATAGTTCCTTGTCTGAAATCCGTTATTAATATTTGTGCAGCAAAGATTTATGAAACACATAATTCATCCATAAAACTAGTGCTTATTTCTTGACGTTGATATTGTAAGGTTTTGCTAAAATTCGGTGTTGAGCTGAGGCACCACCCTTGTGTAAACTTCATACACGCAGGTAAAAAAAAAGGGAGAAATACATAATAAAGAAGCGGAAGGACATAAAATCTTAAATTATTGGATGTGCTCTTTTTCCTAACGAAAATGTAATCATCACGACAAAAACTCCCGAAGTCACCCTCACAGAAGACCGGAAATGAAGAAGTATTTATCGTTTATATTGATAGGCAAGTGGGGCGTGGTGTGGTCTAAAGACACTTCTATTAAACGCTTCTATTGATACGCGAAAGGTATGCTGTCACAAAAGTGAAAAGTCGAAATGATAACATCATCAGTGCAAGTCACCGTCAGAACAAGGTAACAATTTGTCCCTGGTCCCGCCCCCTAACACCTGTGGCCCCCTCTGGGTCACGTACACACACCTGGGCCCCGGTCCACGTATTAATTTTAAACCGAAAATTGGTCAAGACATTTAGACCTTACTTGAGGTCTATTTGGCTCGAGATATATTAGTAAATACAATAGTGCACGTAATTTACAATAGGAAAGACTTGGCTAATGTTTCATACTTATACCTAGTTTATATAAGTGGATTATTTGGGAATTTTCTTAAATGAAACACGCGGAATTTTGGCTCTAAAACTTTTCAGGTAAAAATTCTTTTGTGGACTCTGCTGCTAGCTTCTCACGTTCACATCCCCATGTGAGATAATTGCCCCGATGGAGATATCATCTGAAACAAACGACATGTGTGAAGTCGCAGATTTTTTTCTATCCTACATACTGATGTGGAATAAATTTTGGTTTATTGAAATATTTAATTTTTAGGTTGAATATAAAATAAAATATGACCACATTAACTCAGCGTCCACTCTCCAGGGTCACGTCGACCTCTCATCCACGTCATGTTCATTTTTAGTAAACATTTAAGAAATCCATTTCAAGGGCCTCAATTTAGCCTTTTGTCATAGAGCTTACATAAGATGTGACGAGATCTAAATTCAGCTCCTGCTTCAGTTTCACTGTCAAAGCTATGTCTACAACCAAGAAAAGGGTCGTTCAAAATCCACTGGCAGGGCCCAGTATAGCTCCCTTGCGCTAGTGGAACATGTATGGACAGGATCTAGGACCGGTATTGACACTATACAAATGCAGGGCTCTGAAGAATGAATAGGGGACTTATAAGAAGCGTGGTGTAACATTCCAGGTATTTGAGGGATGTGTGGCCGAGGGTGCACCTGTGGGGTCTTACCATTCGATCAAAGGTTTCCGAAACCGGTTCGCTTTTCCTGCCAAGACGAGGATCCATCACTTGAGTTTGTTTCACTCATTTAGGTGACGAGTCCCAGGACGGTGGCTGTACTTCGTGGCTCTGACATTTAACATCGTTCTGAATTTTTTCAAATATTGAATTTTAATGGTATCTGGGAAGTGACTGGATTTAGGCATAAGTGTGTAGGGACGTAGCAAGATGAAATTTATTTATTGACCGAGTACGAGGAATCTTTAATACTTGGATGCGTTGTAAGGGAAGGTGCGTGGATGATTTTCAGGCTGGACAGGTGATTCTTCCCCGTGAGTGAATGATTTGAAAATCAAAATGTTTTCCCTCCATGTTTTATTTCAAAAAAGTTTTATCCTCCATACAATGCATTTATGTATAAAACATAGGGAAAATTAATCATTTCCGAAATAATTTTGCACTTAAATGGAGTTTAATTAATTTAGAGTAATTATGAAGTAATTAAAAATGAAGTAATTGATGTATATAACATGAGTGCGCTTTATTTGTTTTTAATTATATTTCTTATAACCATAAAAAGTTTTTTCTTGGCTTTACTTTGAGCTGCCGATTCTTTCAATCTTGAATCTAGCGTGTATTCGTCTGTAAGAGACCTTGATCAACTTACCACGGATAGTCTTGACGTTAATTTGGTCTATATCATACATCTTACCAAATACTGTGCCGTGTTGCATTTCCATGTTATTTAACAGCTTGATTACATAGGAAAGGACATACGCTTAATCCTATGTGATAGCTTATTAGTTACGACTTATTTTAGAATTATGCCTTGTGTTTAGTTTTAGGTTTCACTTAAGTAACGAGAGTTACATTTTGAGAAATGTCAATCTGTTACCGATGTTGCTATTAAAAACTTTTATCACGTACATAAATGCAAATTTATTTTCAAAAAAGTGACTTTTTCATTTTAATTCAGCTAGAATTCTCATTAAAGTCACGATTTTGGTAAACGCTCGCCCTCTGTGACCGTCTATGATATCATCATTGTCCATTTACATTTGCAAAAAAATGTCATTAAATTAAGTTTGTTCAATTCTAATTTTCAGTTTCATATTCCCTCATGGACCTAGTGGTCAAACCTCACCGACAAGACCATTTACTGACCAACGGCTTTGACCATCGCCTTGATGCCGACAACCAAAAGTCACCCTCAAATTCTACAGAGGACCATTCCCCTCGAAAAATGGAGCTGAGGGCTTCGGACTCTTCTGCCTTCACAAAGGTCGACGCACTAAAAATGAATGTGAACAACGACGACGCTGCGGCTGACAGACTTTTAAGAGACCCAAGACTTCTCAGTTTATCTGAAGACTTTAAAAAACGTTTTTCTCAAGCAATGCGTCCCGTCAGCGTCAACACAACACATCCTACATTACCACTTTTCGGCATGCCGCCAATGGGCTTCTACACGGGTCACCTGATGACGTCATCAGGAGCGTTACCTACGTCACCACCTGATTTGCTCAAAGTCCCAAACCCTTTTGCTACAACCAATGCCGGATTGGCTCACCTCCCCATCAGCCACCAACAAATGATGAACCAAAATGGCCGCCTTCCTCCTTTTTCCCCACTACCAGGAGCGAACGGCCATGCAGCAAATCCTTGGTATTTTTTGGACCCAAGAGCACCAATAAATCCGCTATACGCCCAGTTCCCAAGGCTACCGTTAGACGCCCTTCTCCGTCCACCATTGACCAGTGGTGGGCACACGATCGACAGTTTGCTCGGCGGAGAGAGCGGTTTTTCTAGCAGGCAACCCGATGCCAAGGGTTTTTCGCAATATCAGACGCCTGTCATATCCAAGAGTAAGCTGGAACGCGATCTGTCCCCAAGTAACTCTGATGGTAATGAAAATTCTCCGAGACTTGATGACTTGAAACGAGAGGAGGAAGAGCAAGGAGATATGTCACGGATTCACAGACAGGAAATTACCCATGGTCACAGCAATGGAACGCGAGACGCCGTTGAAGACGTTAGCGACGAGCCAAGCAAAAAGCGGATACGAACGAAAGAAATAAACGTAGATGAAATAGAGGAAGAATTTGAGGACGAGGAAGAGGATGAGGGCGACCCTGACGATGAAGAAGATAAAGGAGAAGGCGAGGAAGAAAAAGCAGAGGAAGTAGAAATTACGTCACATGAACACCGAAGTGTGACGTCATCCCCACTCAGTCCTCAATTAAAGCCAGATACTAGACATGAGCGTCATTCATCCCCCACATCGTCCCAACCGAACACTATTCTGAACGTGACACCACCCCACGCGTTCCCATTTCCTCCTAAGTCGTTACCGAACTTCCCACCGGACACTTTGATGACGTCATACGCTTCCACTCTGGGCTCTCTTCCCTTCCCTCTCCCTTCTCGATATGGGGAACCAGCTACCAGTTCTGCGTCTCTCAGCGCCTATGCCGCAGCCGGTTTGCTGCCCATGGGTCCCATGCCATTTGGGATGAACGGAAATTCAGGGATCCTTCACCCGGCGTTCCTGGGAATTCCTGGGGGTAGGAGAGTGTCGGGAGACAAACCACCCCCTCTGAAGAAGTACAAGTGTGACATTTGCTCCAAGGCTTTCAGCAGAAGTAACACGCTAGTCACGCACAAGGTAAGGGTGCTTGTGTAAATGGGTGTTGAATTACAAGTTTGTCTCCCAAGTTTTTTTTTTTTTCTTGGTTTTGTTTTCAAAGAAAACGACAAGAAACTTTGCGGTGAAAAAATGCCACTATCGATGCCTATAAGATGTTTTATTTGAGGTGTTCTACTACACTGTCGTCATCATCATCATCATCATCATCACCACAATATAATAACAGTGAGATTAAATAAGTGTCGACTGTCATTCAAAAATAATATTTAAAAATTTTGATATTCTCACAAAGGTCTGATCATTAAGTCGTTCTTAAAATATAGGCCTACACAGTCAAAATGTTGCTTGTTGTGGGTTAACTTCATAACGCAATTTGATAGATGAATTTGTCTCGTATCGAAACATTTCTCATAAACAAAAGATCATTTTACTTTCCCAAGAACCCGAGCAATTCTTATCTATTTGCCAACTGCCGTGCATGTCTGTTAAGCTAATATACTAAAGCAAAAGTCTCCGAAACTCTATCCGCGAGTGTCAGACTGCAATATTTGTCGCGTCAATTCCGCGACAATATACCGCGGTCACGCGACCACGTGCATTACATGGCCGGGCAGAGGCGTGAAGTTGCTCTACGTGACCCTCGATAAAGCAACTGATTAGCCTTCATGGGCAGCTACTTAAAACATCAATATTCCTTTTATTGCAGCGCGCGCTGTGTGTGTCCCCCCAGATCAGATGTTGATTGTCAACTAAGAGTGATGCAACCAGACAGCATCTCCACACAATTATCTGTTGACTTTTTACCATTAGCTCGTCCATTTCCGGCCATTGCCGGCCGTTTCCGTGCAATATTTCCAGGAAGCGTTAGCATTTATTTGCTACCGATGACCAATATGGCGTTAAATACCTTTAAAACTCTTTTTAAAAAGAATTATATAATATGCTTGCATCGCACCAGCGTTCTCCGTCGAATGCAGAGGTTGTTTAATCAGAAACTTCCCGAAGCAGACGATATCTCGGAGAAGCGGGAAAAGCAGCAGACGACAACAATTGCTGCGGGTAAACATGGAATGAATGGAAGATAATGGGGGTGCACTTTCCCGGAGGAAGTTTTTAACTTAGTAGCGCTGATAAATTGATCGTATCACACCTAATGACTCCACTGCAACTGATCTCCTGGCCTCTCTCTCTCTCCAAAATGACGATCTTTGTGTCTGAAATGTCATATATTTTTTATTGCTCTTGAATCACATCTGACTGGTAAACATTTTTCTCCTTGTTCCAACTATGTCAGATGAAAACTTCACTTTGATATTTAAAGGTACTCTCTCAACAATTTTAGATTTAATTTCTCCATCTTGTTTTTAATTTCGGTCTACTTCATATAGAAATATAAATGTCCCCCTGCAAATTGTTTTTTCTATACAAATTCCAGTCAATTTATGGTTCACACACAAACAAACACACATTTTAAAAACAATACCGAGAAACATTTATACCTTGAGGCACAGACTTGGAAAGTGTTTACAAAGAGTCGCATTTTACAATCACATCTTCTACAAACAGACGCGCTCGTTTAGTATTGGTTTTTAACTCGGATGAATTCCCGCATTAGCCAACAGCACGCTAAACGTTTGATCTGTTACGTAACGTTGCACCTTAACAACACAGAATGCTTCGGTAATGCCCTACGAACAAAATCATGCTCGGGGTTGCACCCGAAAACCTTTCGATTTTTGGGCCGTGCCTGAGAAATGAATTGTTTAAGGCTGTGAAATTATTGAGCTGTTGAATGGTGAAATACTGGAGAGAAACTTGATCGGCGTGTGACCAAAATCATTTTAGGTCATTTAGGCAGAAGAAGAGAGCTTTTTCTTAGGAAGTACTTTGATATTAAGATATTTTCCGTCACATCTTTTGAATCCTTTATTCACCCATCACTTTAAGTCATGTTAGGCAGGCCAAGGCAATATTTAGCCCAAAAGGTCAAAGTTCAGTGTAATTTAATTATTTCGTAACAATTTATTACTCGAATTCGGTCCCATCTCACAAATATATAACAAAAAAAGATAAAAGTATTTAAGTTTATTACCGCTGATGTATAAATTTGACATTGATCATCAAATTTTATCAGGGCCCCAACTTAGAAGATGAGAATCGGCAAAAATTCATTCTCTAAGTGATTTCAAGCTCGGAGTGGCAGTGACTTAAATGATAGGAGTTGGTTTCAATATAGATGTTTTAAATTAAGTGATGATGATAACCAAATCTGGGTGTAATCAGGAGTTGGAGCAGTTAAAATTCGTGGTTTTTAAAAAATAAAACCGTTTTATGATTCGAACTTAATAGCTATGTTTTGCAATCACGCCATTTTCCTCAAACTTTATAGTTATAGATTTTTTTGCAAGGGCAATAAATATAATTTAAAGGTGTGCATCATAAAGCAATTTCAACATAAACACACACACACACAAGAAGTAGAAGATAATGAGAGAGAGAGAGAGAGAGAGCGGTGAGACGAAAAAGAAAAGAGAAAGTCAAATTCTTTACACCCTTCCATTTCATCCCAAAATAATCTTCTCTTTGTTTGGTTCCCGTCTGCGCCCTTGGGTCCACAAACAAATATTACTTCTTCTTACGCAAAGTCATGTTTCTACAGCCAAATTTGGCCAAGGAATGGTGTGCAAACAAGCCGCTCTCGTCTCGAATAGCGCGCGCAAACATGAGAAGCCTAAGCCGTTTTTCTTCAAGTCCAGCATCCTCTTTGTCCTCCTGTAAACATCGCCTGGGACGGTACCGGACAGCTCCGGCCAAATTAACGTCCGGTGAGCTCGGATAATGGACAACAAATAGAGACTTAGCGCTATTTTCGTCCACTTTTGTCTGTCGTTTGTGTTATACAACACGGAGCAAATATGGCAGCACTGAAGAGTTGGAGGTGTGAAGGGAAACAAACAGATTTTGGTCTTGCACCCTGTAATTTGACATGAATGGCCCCGCTTTTCAAGAGGTGGGCTCTCGTCAGTAATCATCATTTCGGGTATTGTCCTCCATTTCTCCATGGCACACGTGTCCCGATATGACCGTGAGAATTTTTCGGGTTTCAACCCGTCTCTGGCCACTTCTTTTATAAAAAGTTAAAGGGAATAAAATGCCCTATTCACCACGAATTATTGAAAACATTGAAACTGCCCATTTTGGCCACACATTTTGTATCTGCATTTACCTGCAGGTGCGTGCCTTTTCTTTCCTATAAAAGACTGAAATAGACTTAAATTTGCAACGAAAATGTTCAATTGCACACACAGCCATTATCTATTACTTAATCACTTAAGTCAGGTGAAACATTCCAAGATGACAATACAAAAAACCATTAATATGCAGGCGCCCTGAGAGTTAGATTTACCACAAACATTTCTCGGTAATATTTTTTTGTTTAATCAATTTTTCCCCTTAGAATAACTTACATGACGCAATCATATATCAGCCTTTCCATTTCTATTTGTTAATTCATTAATTAGTTAATTAATCAATTGATTAATTTCTGCAATTTTGTTAATTATCACTATTTTGCCCTGAAAGTAGCCCAATAGCTAGTATCAAAGGTCATCATTGTCGAGGGCTTAAGTGAAACAACCATTTATTTCAAATCGTTAAAACACATATGTACAAGGACCCCAACCTATCTCTAAGAGTTATTTGATGATGCCATAATATTATATTCATCAACATTCTTTTCTTTTCAGCGAATCCACACTGGAGAGAAACCCTTCAAGTGTGAGGTCTGCGGCAGAGCTTTCCGCCAGCCAGGTAACCTCACCCGCCATCGCCTAACCCACACGACCGTGAAACCCTACGTCTGCGCACAGTGCAATAAAGCCTTCAACCGCGCATCTAATTTGCATACGCACATGCGCACTCACACCAGTTTCAAGCCGTTCGTCTGCCAGTATTGTGGGAAAGGATTCCACCAGAAAATCGATATGAAGATTCACAGTTATACTCATACAGGTGAGTGCTGATTCTAAAAAAATGAATTTTCTAAAAAAAGGAGGTTGTTGTTGGTGAAATATTAGTGTAATTAATGCCAACGTGTATAGATAGCTTTGAGACAGCAGTCCATTGATTTTTCACACCACTTGATAAGTAAAAAATCCGAAATCGGCAAAGTTTAACAACTATACGCATTGTTACCAGCATAGAGTCGCCCCCCCCCTTCATAGAATTAGTGAATAAATTCTCCGAATTTTCTCCCTTATTGGCAGGAGAGAAGCCCCACAAGTGCAAGACGTGCGGACGAGGCTTCAAGCAGCTTACTCACCTCACCTACCACATGCGCACGCACTCGGACCGGAAGATGTATCAGTGCCCGACGTGCGGGAAGGGGTTTAACCAGAAGGGCAATTTACAGGCTCATATATATGGACACACAGGTAAGGAGGATTTTGTTGGCCGTTTTAACTGTTGTAAAATGCAGTGGATAAATCTGAAGTTTGTATCTGAACCATCTTAATTGTTATGCCTATGGTAATGAATACCTGGGCTCTTGCTCAGCTTTTAACTAAGTTGGTGGAGAAAAAAATGTGTGCGATTTCTTTTAATTACTAGAATATACCTGAATAAAAAACAGTCTATAGATCTCAATATACATGTAGTAGGGGCCTACGTAGTGTCTTATAAGATGATCATCAGAAATTTCAGACATACTAATGCAACTTCTTTGGTTTTCGTTTTAGGCGAGAGACCTCACCGCTGTGAAGTGTGTGGGAAAGGCTTCACGCTGGCGAGTACGCTGAACACCCACCGCCGCATCCACGCGGACAACAAACCTTTCTCTTGTCAGCACTGCGGCAAAGACTTCTACCAGAAAAACGCGCTGAAAAGTCACCTGATCGCCTCTCATCCTTACACCGGGCAGGCGTTGCTATGAAACGACCAGAAAGTGGACCTGTTACAAAGAGACATGATTATGACTTTTTATATAGATTTCTATTTGTGGAAAAAGTCGGCTGATTGCACCGCTCACCTCCACCGCGCGTTCGTTGCTAGGAGACGACAATCAGCGCAAGCGCAGTTGTGTCAATGGATCCTTGTCCTCCATACTCATTTGCAGTGTTTTCATTCAGCTCAGGATTATCCTGAACCTATGATATGTTAGTTAAAGTTGATTATACACATTTGTTAAATGTGGTGTATTTTACATGGTGTTATTAGGTGGCTGTTAATCAGGACTCACTTGTTTTGTGAATCCAAGCTGGCGCTTACAAGCATAGAGAAATGGTTCATATAATAATAATGTGATTAAGTCAATACATGTTGGCCATTTGAGCAAGCAAAAAATGCGCGTGCAACAATAGTTCGTGCGCGCTTCCTATTTCGCCTAACACCTGTGTCACGCGTTGGTCAAGTTTGAATCTCACAGTGATATGAAAAAAAAAGACGACCTTCTGTATTGAACCCCAGACAATCATAGTCTTAAGCCTAAAACTTAATATGACACATTCAGCAAATAAGGAACTTTTGTTGAAACGTGTTGCCCAGACACGGAGCCATTTCAAGGCAGCACGGTTTGTTGACAGTGTGAGAGGCCGTTTACGTCATCGTTGTAAAAATAACTTAAACCCACAAAATATCGATATTGTGGTAATTGCATAATTGTTTTGTTGATAACATAACTTGCCTCACTTCATGTGAAGTCTTTGTGAGACTCGGGGGTAAAGCAATATTTAAAAATCTGCAAGTACAATCATATAAGTCAAAGCACTTCAACGTTTTTGTTGTCGTCAAAATTTGAAGTAGTTTGAAAGGATTTTTTTCTTGAAGAGATCCGTCCTAGATATTTTTTCTTTATGATGCGTTTATCTATCTTATAGAGCCCAGGGGTGAGCAATGAAAATCACTGTGTGTTGCTCACTTGAAATATAGATATCGAATAGAGATGGTATGCAACTCTCGAAGAATGAGTCAACACATTAATGTTTGTATTGATAAACCACTTTAACTAAGTGAAATGACGTCATTGTGAAGATCTAAGCATATACGGACTTGTATATTAAAGGCATTTGCTCAAGTATCAGTATGACGCTAGTCAGTTGGATGGCCATTATTCAAATAATCAAAAATTGAAATATTTAGTTTACCCGTACCTACCTTGCGCTAGATTGATAGAAACAAATAGATGTTTATCAAGATTAGGATGGACCATTTGTAAAATCATAAATTTTAATTGGAAATATACCATGCTGTAAATAAGAGACTAGTCAAGTGTCGTCATGGATAAGAAAACAGACATAATAAATTTTATTTGTATTTGAATAATGCTCAGAATTAAGGTATCTAGTCACGTTTCTCTTGCCTATATCAAGGGCGCTGTGTGTTTATATCGTGGTAAATAGATATTTTTAAGTGGATGTGTTGGATGTTTCATACAGGATTTTTTTGGGACAGCGGCAAAGTGTTAGAAATTTTATTGTTTTCTTTGTGGTATGCATGTTAATTGTATATATTATTTAAATTTGGAAAATATAAGCTATATTGTAATGCTCATTAAATAAACTGTTTTTGCATGTAAAATATGTTTTATTTTTCTTTGTTTCTTCGTGCTAAGGGTACGAGCTAAAAGTACAAGCTAAAGGAATTTGATTAAAATATTTGATTCACATGGATTTAAAAGTGAGTTATTTTCTTACTATAAAGTTCATTAAAAAAGTCATTGAAACATTAAAGAGGTATAAATTTCAGTTTTAAAATTTTCTAAAATGGAATGTTTTAATTCCTTTTTTGCGAGAAATTTCGAAAGTTTAAATAATCAAACTGTAAATCTACACATACGGAACGAGTCTTTTTTTTTTGCCAGTGACGTAATTTCTTCGAACTTGGGACTATTTTGAAGTTGTTTGTATATGAAGGAGCGATAATAACAGGATATTTAAAACATTTCAATCATAAAAATGTTTTCTGTTAGTTGGAAAGTACCATCGGAAATCGGTATAACCAATTAAATAGAATAGATATATATCAAAAATTGCTTTGCATTTTATCTTATGTATCAACAAGCGGAATGGCGGTAATTCAAACAAAAACCAGCTATTCTCTCGATATAAGCTGCCAAACGAAAGGCAGAAAAATCGCTCTAATAACAGTGATCGGTACTGCAATTCGTTTGCAAGGTAACTTCATGACCGACCAACAAAATAGACTATTTACCAGCTCAAATGACTACATTTCGTTGTTCTTCTTGGAAGGGATTACGAGAAAATTAAGGGAATTATGAGAGACCCCGGTTGGGAAATTACGGTATAATCCAACACGTTTTTTATTTCGCTTTAAAAGACGGACGACTCCGACCCTGGTTGATTTATTACAGGTAATTTCCCAACTCCTCCCAAACAAGCAAGGTAATACAACGCACGTGCCCAGTGACTAAATAGCTAAAATCATCCATGGCTGTCAAAAGAGTACATATCCTGATCGAGGAACGCAGACATTCTGTCGTTCTCTTGAAGAGTTATCTGACATTTTGCGGTTTGTTTAACACCCTTGGTTCGCCGTCGTAATCCCCGAACTGATTTCGTCAAACAATACGACTGAAAGAATTCCGAGCGCGTGCCCGTCACAAAACGCCCTCAATTTGACGCAATTTAGCTAATTACCGGCGAGCAATTAAGGAGTCATTGAAAAGAAGTCAATTTCTGCGGTGACAAAACATATGCTCGGTTAAAATCGGATAAAGCGGCTCGAGCGTCGGACAAATTTTGATGATTGAACATATGCTGAGTAATTTGGTCTAATGAAGACGGTGATTTTAAAGAGGCAGTCCTTTAAACGATGACATAGAAATCTCACCCTCACTCACCGGGGAAGAGCCAACATGTTTACCGTATTAATCCTTAATCCCACAATTAGCCTTGTTACCTGCTCTTAGAGACGCAGTGGAGTCCCCAAAATTAGCTCCTTTCTTTAATGTTCAATTCAATATTTTGGAGAAGGTGGCTATGTCTTGTTTCCTCTGAGTGGCGAAGTGGTTTAATGAGAAACAAGTCCAACATATGTTGTGCTACTGGCGATGTATTCTCCAATCTCTTAATGATTTGATAAATTGAGGAATATGCCGAACAATCTTTTTTCTGTTATTTCCACTTCATCTTTTTGATGGAGGTTTTTTCTTTTTACTTTCTTCACTTAAAATGAGCCATCGAATATAATGATTATAGTAGTAGTTGAAGCAAGACCTAGCTGGCTTTCAGTGCACCCAGAACCAATATGAGAAAGGAGAACAGCAAAATACATGACAAGAGTGTGTAATCTTAGACTATCATTATAAGATACGTTACTTGCACTGTATAATTACCATGAATGGAATATTATGTTCCGGTACTGGTTGAGTGGTATCCATCTCTTTAATTATTTTGTTCTTCTAGGGAATTGTCTATTTTTCGTTTCACTTGGTACTGACTGGTAATCAGTTCGTCATGATCTCTTGATTTGAAATGCGAAAAAAAACTTCTTTCCCTCTGCCTTTTTTAATCAGTGTGTTAATTGCTCATAATGCAATATATAAATAAATGGGAGACAAAAAGGTGAGAAAGAAAGAAAGAAAGAAAGAAAGAAAGAAATCCAAAGAAATCCTACCATTAAAAATAGCGAGTAAACTACTAAAATTGGCTGGTAAGACCAGACAAATGTAAGTAGTTATAGACAAAAAAAAGAATCTTCACAAGCGAGTAAAGATTTTCAAATTCCCTTATCCCAATTTTAGTGCCACGGCCACATACGAACCGATCTTAGCCATTGTACGGACGCTGATCGCGGATCGAAGCCAAATTATCAACAATCGAAAGGTTATCAGGTGCGGAACATGCATCAATTTCACCTCAGGAAGGTGAAAAATTTCGCCAGTCTTTTCAATATTATGTAAACCCATTTCGATCGACTAGCGGCTCCTTTTGACGAATTAACCTTCGTCAGGAAAATCGGACGAACACTGACCCCCGGTTGTTGATGTTAACTGGGTTTGTAAGGTGCAAATCTTGAGTGGAAGAACCGAGTTGTACAAGTTTTACCATTGAGATCTCTTAATTAAAAGAAAAATCTATAGGATTATATCTTAGTACGTAAAGGTTTTGTTTTATGAAAGGGGACGTCCGTGCCAACGAATGTTAATTAACCCGTTTGAGTACGCGCACCTGGCTGGGAGCGCTCAAAGGAAAATTAACAAGAGGAATTGATGTGACTTGTTTATTTTAAAATCTATTATTATTAGTGTTGTGTAAGAGATATCGTTTGAAACTTTAATATGGGTATTACTTCAGTCTAGAAGTCTGACAATTTTCATGAAGTTAATGCAATGTTCAGTGTCCAAGGGTTTATCTATTTTAAATAAAGAAGTGAAAGCTGAAACTCCAAAGGTCGCTCTTAATCCAGGTTATTTTAGTTTTTTTCATCCTCAATACGAAGAGCTAACCAAAATATTCAACTACGGAGCACGTTTTTGTTATTATTTATTTATTTACTTAGTTAGTTAGCTAGTTAGTTAGTTATTGTACACGTAACTATATTGATTAGAATAATACACCAAACCCGTTTTCTCTTCTCCGCGTCGACATTTTATTTAAGAAAGTTTTTTAAATATCACATTAATATCGTAAATTTGTGCAAAAAGTTTTATTTTACAAATGCTGATATATATATATATTAATACAAATTCTAACCTGGTCTATATACTTTTATCCGAATAACCAATAGCAACTAATGTACAAAAAGTTGATTAACAAGACACAGCTTACTACGTACAAATACGAGCCATGGCATAACACATTAGCTATAGATATTGGCATGCATACGTAGACTGCATCGGCAATTGAGAAAAAAAGGTCTTAAATTATTCAATCGCTCGATCCTAAAAAAAAATCGATTAGATAATCGGGCTGTTCCACGAAAGGGGCATCTCTTGGAGTCCGCTATTCATAACAACGGCACGCGCCCGTGACTTAAGGCAGCGAGAGGCGATTGGCCATCGATCAGCGATGTCCGAACAAAAACGCCGTTTGTTTTCCTCGCGATACGGGGCGGGCATTTCCTTTGGTTTTGTGCCACGGCTCCGGTAACCACGTCGATTTTGCACTGAGTGACGCCTTTTGGTATTGTGCGAAGGCGGAGCTGTTATACAATGATAATAGTGTTGTTTTAAGTCAGTAGAGTGGTCATTAGTAGATTTTACATATTTAAATTCTATTGTTTTATGGCAGTTAAATTTGCAAATGCATTCAGCTCTTACAGCGTACCTTTGAGTAAGAGGCCATGTAAATTTCAATAAAATATTTCAATGCTGACGGTAAAAGACATGAGTTCCGTTCACTGAACACGAAAAATATTTTGAAGAATGACATTTTTCAAATTTTTATTCTACAAATACGTTGTTTAGCTTGAGCTGGTAAAATCATATGCTGATGTAACATATTGTAAATATATATCCTTCAGCTAGCTGCTTTGGACATAGGCCATAGCTTTGACATCAGTAACTATCTGTTAATAAACAACTTTGATAGCAGTAGCAGGACTGAATACCAAGAAAGGGTAAAATGGGGCATCAACATTCGCCATCACATCTAATATCTGTGTACTCGATTGTGAATGATAATAATGATGATTTTTGTTGCAGAAATTTTGGCAACTGAACATATTACATTTATACAGATGAACAGAGTATCTTCTGGCTAACATGTAATTTTGAATGATTAACCAGATAAAATGTAGCAACATATGTACATAAATTACTTGTGTTCTTTAACTATAGGACAATGCATTAGCATAAAATCGCATGGCCCTAAGTCCAAAGAACATTTAATAAAATACGATTATAAAAATGACAAAATAGTGCTATAAATTACAAGCATCATTAATACAGTATAAAAATTTTAATGTACAGCATACAATACCAAACGCAGTTAAATGAAAAAGAATGATTATACCTCAAGGAATCTGATAGTTACTACTGTATTTTAAAAGGTCATCCGTGTTTGAAAACAAGCGAAAGGACTGTCAAAAAAAATCAGATGCAATGCAGAGGTAAGGAAGAACACAGTTCATCGATTTCTTTCATTTTTCTCTCCAGTGAAACGCATGATAATACACGGTTATCAAAACAGACTCTTCTTAGACACAGTTCGGTCAAAAAGTCAAGTCGAAATCAAATTACAAAAACCCAAGCGCTCAACGATAGAAAAACAAATGGCAAATTTTACGATGACTCACATGAAATTGACATTCTTGGATTAATACAACATTAACGGATTGCTGTTCATCGCTTTTCGCGCCAGCAACAATACGAGCGCCGTCATACCGGAATCGGCTCAATAGACTCGTTTCCGTGACCAAATCACGGAATGGACCGGAAATACACGAAACGTCAACAGATCCCAGCGCAACCATCACAATATCCTTGCACGCTCATTACTTATATTCTTGCAGGCTAATGTTAATGTACTTGCGAAATCAGTGAAAAATTGCGTAATATCCATTTAAGTGAGACATTGGAGACGAAAACGTGTTTGATGAAGTGCGTTAACGGTAATGGACTGAGGGAGTATTTGCTACAAAAGGGAGCGGAAAATAACAAATTAGGAGCGTCTGCCCACCGTTATTACAAAATCTGGGAAATGGACACTGCTTGAAACTGGGTGTAGGCTTAATGTGTAGGCAATTACTGTATTAGCTGGGTAGTTTGAGCCTTGCTTAATGACGGAATGGGTTGAAGAAATGTTTATTTTTTATGATATTTCATTTTATTTTATTTGCACTATCAAAGCAGATTCGCACCGGGAAAAGGTTTCTTAACATTCATTTGCAAAGTATGATATGTCCACTTTTAAGCAAACATATTTCCGCCTCTCTATTTCTATATTTCTATTAATTCGGTAATTAATTTTCATTTATTTATTTATTTGTATTTGTATGAGCGTGAGAATGCCTGTTTCTGAGGAACAGAATCATTTCAAATACATAGGCAGCACTGGAGCCCGCAAATCAATCAAGGAAGACGCTGACAGCAAAATATGAAACGATCCGCAAATGAGACGTGGAGAAAGCTGATACCCCCGGGGTCCAACATGCAAATTGTCACATCAATACGTGGTGGAGATAAGAAAATAGTCCGTGATTAATTGGCCGCGTTCTCTGACACCTGGGAAATGAACGGAGATACCTTTTTGTTCCCTTCCTGAAGGCAAAATGAGAAAGCGTCTCTCAATCTGTGGGTTGAAGAGACTTAGAGCAGTCGAACATGTCACCGTTGAGGGGGCTTAAGCATGATTTAATAATGAAGCGCTGGATGTAGTAGGGAGAAGATGAATAGGCGTAAATTAGCGCCGCGAAACGCGTTGTATTGCGCTCCGGGGAGAGCACGGCGATCCGCTCGCTTTGGAGATCGTGATCGAAATGAGAGACCTTTTCGGTTCCTTGGTGAATTGCCCTACATTAATTTTACAAGAAGCTAATCGGGAAATTATGTCATAATTCCTTTCGGCGCTTTTTCTTCTTCTCAGGTTTTGAAAGATATGTTCAAGCTTCTCATCGTTGGGGCCAGGTGCGTGATTAAGTGTGTGTATGTGTGCGTCTGTGTGGTTGTGTGTGTGTACACGTGTGTGTGTGTGTGTGTGTGTGTGTGTGTGCGCGCGCGCGCATTTGTGTGCGGTGGGGTGGGGGAAAAAGGTTGTTCAATTTTACTAAAACATCATTCATATATTGAGGATCGCTCTATACCCCTTATGCAATTCAAATGAATCACTCCAATATCTAAAGTTTAAATGAAACTCCAAAACAACCCGAAGTATGGTTTTCTGATCCTTTTCTACACTTATCATTTTTTTTCAGCTAGGTAAATTGATCACTTTGCAAGCACACTGCCTCTTGCAACGAAACACGAGAGAAAGCGATAAAATAACATATGAGGCTAGAAGATTTTACCGATATGTATAGGCTTAGGGACCGTTCACATGGAAAATCTATTTTCTAAAAATCTAAAAATCTATTTTCGGTATCTTGTGATCACGGTCTGTGCCCTGAATACCCCAACTGCGTAAATACTGGCAGCGCTAGACAGTTACTTCCAAAGCTGTAATTAATTCTCGGCTGAGCTCGGAGTGATCACAAGATATCGCGAATAGAAAATAGATTTTTAGAAAATATATTTTTCATGTGAACGAGTCTTACTTTCGAACTTGAGAAGCGTGTTGGACATAGTTTATCATAGGATACCCTTGTCAACACACATATCAATTGACAGGTCACGACATTCTCAAGAAAAATTTAAAGAAGTGAATCAAATACACCCCTTCTCTCTCACACACACACGAGCGCGCTTTGATATTCGCTGCATCAGTAAGTCGCGTCCAACGAAGATTCTCCCCAGCAGAATATTGCTGCTGCGACCGCTGCTACAGTCACATCTACCGCAATTGAGCGCATCTTTCAGATTGTGTTTCACGTCACAATTTCCACATTACCCAAATGCTCTTTGTTGACCCAACAGCCATGCGCCATTAATTTTCTAGTATTTTAGCAGTTAAGAGGATTGCCAGTTTTAATTAATTTTTCGACTTACTTTAAATAAGAAATCATATTCACTAAAACTGGATAGAAAGTGGAGAATAGGAATAATTGACAAAGAAAATGCAAAATATATTTTGACTGTTAAAAACCATGAAAGGTTTGCAAATAACAACACTGCTTCATTGTACACCATATTTTCCTTTATTTCTGCTTAAATCTCTTACTCTCTCTGGTTCTTTAACAGGGGATGGATTGGTTTACAGCTTCATAGCGTGGTTCTAAGTAACAGTTTCCAAAACTTAATTTCAACTTAAAAGCTAACACTATTGAAAAACTCACCCCCTAAAAACCAGCAAATACTGAAGACGATCTTGTACTGAAATACCGGGTACTATATCAAGAACCAACAGCATTCTTGTCAACTATATATTACTATATATATTTTTTAAATATTCCGCATGTCATACCACTCACAAAACCCAATATTTTAAGCACCTACAGGAACACTTTAAACTCACATTCCTACTTATATTTCATACACCTAATCTGCAGTTATTTTACATTTTATAAATCTGAATCCAGTGTTGAAATTAATCTTATGATGACAACTCGAGCAAACAGGAACCCTTAATGCACAAATGTCTTCAACCACAGCAGCTGAACAAAAGTTTCAGTTCTTCATACATAATTGTAAAAAGCAATGGTCACACCAAAGAGTTTTTTCTTGTGGTAACCTTATTGAAAGTGAGCAAAGTAAGCAACAACATAAACGGCTTCTGAATATATGAGAAATGCCACAAACTAAAAATCCACAAATCGCATAACACACACAGATTCAGAAAACCTCTCCGAATATTCATGTCAATCTTTTGGATAACCCTGCATAACACACAGTCTTCTGATAATTTTCAAATACAGTATTCCTATTTTCCCCACCGTATTGAAATCTTTAAGTTATTACATGTGACTTGAAAACATTTTTGGCATAATACGAAAATTATGAAGACATATTTCAGCTTTGAGATGTCTATACACAATACTCGACTTGGATAATAAAATAAGGCAATATATTTTACAAAACTTTAGAAAAATGTACCTAAAAGGCAAACACATTCTGTTTCTATCATCCCTAAAGCATCTAAACATACATACTTGCATTATTACTCAAATAAACATTTTAAAAATTCCCAAGAAAAATTCTGTCACTAAGCAGAAACAAAGTCAGGTATGGCAGAACATTTCAATTCTGGTTTTTAGAGTTGAAAAAAAAAACATGAAACTGAAAAAAACCTGGCTGCCAATATCCTTAATAAAATAGCTTTAAGACAAATTCTCCTAAACCAGCTTAAAAAAGAGCTGCCTAAATGAAAATATAAAACCATATACACAAAGCACAAAAATACAAACTTTTTAAAAGAGGTAGCTGAAATGATTAAACAGTTCCTATAATGCCTTGTCAATACCAAATATTCACATTATATCAAAGCCAAGCAAATGCCTCACAGCTTTGGTCAAACTCTTTGCTGCGTAAATGAAAAGAGTATTGTGGCGTATAAAAAGTAAAGTCAGCAATGCTCGGCTATCACAGAAAATATAGCACCAAAATTAGCAAAAGAGCACATTTGAGCTTCAAACACTTATGCACCACAAATGTACTGACAAAAAATGAAATAATTAAAATAGGACATTTGTATTAATATAATGGCTTGTGAGGCTGCAAGGGAGCATGCTCATTAAGGCTCATAGCCAACAAACACTCATCTTACATTTCTTATAGACCTGACTGAGATTGTCTTGAACACTTATGTAAAGCAGCTCCACCTTTTGATGGAAATTTCAATTAATAAGTGAATCAATTTCATCAGACTAGATATAGAGAAACAATAGTTTCTGAACACACTTTGTTAAAGGTGACATGATTGTCATTTTAAGAGCAGCTATTTACATCAGAGTCAATTAAATCATTGTTTGCAGAGTATGTTTGCTTTTATGACAATAGCTGTCTTTTCTTTGTCTGGAAAATTCTCACTTTTCTTGTGGAACTTTTCTATTGGAATAAATGTAAAAGCAAAAACATACTTGTCTCATTGCCTTTGTGTCTCTTTTTTGTAACACCTATCTCATCATTATTACTATTTTTTGCAGTGAGTCCATTATGGCAGGCAATAAATACTGTAAATAGTGGAAATGTTTTCTTTTTTGCCGCATCCTACATATGCCTTACTGTGACACCACTTCTAAGAATTATATATTTTCTTAAAAGTCACCTTTTTAATGTTAAATGGACTGTCTTGAATACTTTTTATATTGTGACTCAGTCTATTGATGGGAATCTGAAGCTAAAAACATAAATTCCCAAACTCATGCTGAATGTGTAATACAGAATGTGTAATTTAAAGCGGCTAAAACCAACTAAATGTGATTCTTGCTTCTTCTTTAAGTTTTTTCTCCTCATTTCTTCATTCAGCATAAAGGTGCAGTTCACATTTTTTTCAGTTTTCCTCACAATTCTTTTCTTGGCATCAACATATTCCACATCACACATCACTAAAAATTTAGGATTTCTCAATATTTTTCTGTAGCACAGCAAGCAGCAGTAACTGCAACAGTACAAAGTTAAGCACTACCAAGGCAAGTTGGGAAAATGTTTCCTTGATTCAGTGTAAGGGGATCAACAATGACCTTTAGGCTTCAAGTAGATTATAACAATACGTGTAGCAGACACTGTTTTTTTTTATATTTTGGACATGATTTTTTTCAGTTAAATCATAAGCACTTGTCAACAGTCAGTTCGGCTGCTACCACTGTACTAACTGACCACAACAGTAGTGCTCTACATGGTTATATCTCTAAAATCTTTGCTTCTCCTTAAAAAATGTTGGTTCAGGGGGTGGGGAGGGGAGGGGGTGGATTCAACTGGCCCCTATGCCTCTCACCAGCTGGTTCCTTTACGAGTAGATGTAGTATTATAACGTAAAATCATGGCTTGACTAGTATAATGCTGAAGTGTAATCTAAACCTCCATCTTGAATGGCACTCCTTTACTCTTCATTTTCTATCCTTGTCAATAAAGCTGCAGGTTGAATTTCTACACTGTCCTGGTCACTCTATGAGGAAAAACTCCTCGTCCAGCTCTCTTCGGTCTGGAGTGTCCATTTTGGTGGTCAAGTTTGTGTCTGGAAACTTGGTTTGTGAATTGCTTCTGAAAATTTTTTTAAAAATCATTTTTTTACGATTATTTGACAGATTGAATGATGCTCATCCTAAAAGTGCAAAGCGGAAATGATTAGATTTTAACCCAGTCATCAGGTAGTGCCATCCAACTGATAGCAGTTGCATAAATATAATCTTTGAATAATAATATCAAGAAAATTCTTGATAATACATATCATTATTCTAAAATCATCTTTAATAGATAAATAAATCCCTTTGTCTAAAATATCAAAACCACGCTGCAGTTCATCTGTAGAACAAAATACTTTTTATATTCCGAACAAACCACTTTGACTTACAGCAAAAAAAAAACAAGAACTTGTGCCTTTTCAAATGATAAATTGCTTATAAGCTGGTTTCATAAGTAAACATAATGGCAGTAATCGAGTTAGGATTCCCTCGACACCCCAAAATCAATAGCCATGATAATGCAGTTCATAGCATTCAGAAACAGGTCTTTTTTTCCATGAAGTTCATAACACAGAACAACTTGAATTACAGTAATTACTCAGAATTTTCCAAACACCTCAATTAATCTGAGGTCTTCATGTTTCAAGATTCATTTTAGTTACTCAAAAAAATGTTCTTTCCCACAAGAAGTCAACTTACTTTAGATAACTTCAGATTATTAGCATTACTTCTAAAAATTGTTTAATTTGTGGATTTTTTCCCATTTGTATTAACTGTAAACATTTGACAGAGATGTTGGAAAATCTACACATTTTTTACATGTGTTGATCTTAATTAATTATTCATTTCTTCATGGTCTGTGCATCAAACAGCTGTCTACGTAAAAAATTAAATTGCCCAATAAAATAGCATACCAAACAACTGTTTCACAATTACAACCACCCTGACCTTCAGAATTTATCTAAAAGTAGCCTCCGCTGAAGAATGTGACTATGTATATTCTCATTTCAAGCAACCCATGAAATGCAGGGTACTAAAATCTGGATATAAACCACAACTGTAAATCCCCATTTGAGAGTCTATATGTTAGATCAGGTTATAGATCAGGGTATTAAATCCCCAATTAAGCGTGGTCTCACATGGAGCCAGGATGATAAAAACAGCACATCTATTTATTGATATACAGTCAATATCTCTATCAGTATCAACACTATCTCACTGTGAACCAGGATCATGTTCAAATGTAGATTTTATAATGGACATTTTCCTGCAGGGCTTCATGTATATTTCACACCAAACAGGTGCTCTTTCTTATTTTCTGTTACTACAATCTGTGTTACACTTAGAATGTACAAATGCTGAGCTATCTTCTTTTATTTGTTTGCAACCCCATTATCTCACATAGTTCCATTAATCACATTTATATCAAATCACCTCCAGTTTTAACTAATACATTTATCTTTCAATGATTCCCATTTTAAGACCTTAACAACAATGACCTTTCTGAAAATATACCAAATATCTTTCCAATCAGAATTTTGTGTTTCAGTATTACTAAAAAAAAAACACTTTTGGGTAAAAATTATTAATCCATTTTTGAAAAGTTCATTGATGAGTAATCATCATAATATATTTATCAGTTCACAGGAAACATTACTCCCCATACCAAATATTACCTCACACTGGCTGCTGATCAATACAACCTTTCATTAATGATGTGAAATCCTGGGGTGCCAGAAAGATGACTCAGCAGTTTTGGCTGCAGTTCAATGGACTTCAAGGCAATATTTTCCAACTGATATTCCTTTCTTCACAAACCCTACTACTAGTGCATTATATGTAATTACTTTGGTGACCACCACAAGAATTTTTTTTTTTTTTTTTTTTTTTGCTTTCTAGGGGAAGGTATTCTCAAAATTTCTCATATCACCACATCAGATTATTCAAGTTAAATTTGACATAAATAAGAGAAATGATTGCTACTGCATACCTCTGTAGAAGATGTGAAATTTAGTAATTTTTTCTCTTAATAACCCCTTTCTTAAGAACTGAATGAGAAAAAATATTTAAGTTTTGAAGAAAAGCATACTAAAGAATTAAAATGAGAAGACCCTGTTCACAGATAGGAATGAACTAAACAATATTTTCTTAATAATACATAACTGTTACAATAAACACATCTTTCTTCTTCTAATCTTGTAAGACTTGTAAAACTAACGAAACACCAAGGCACTAAAATTAGAACATGTTCTTGAGGGGAATCAACAAAGTAATTCTAAGAAAGGAATAAATATAGAATTGCTGACTTGAGGTGAGATTTTATTGGCATTTATTGCTTTAATTAGTGCAACACATCTGCTCCTGCTATGGCACTGAGGAGCTGGTATGGTTATCCACCATTTGGGAAGAGAAACTGAATGGCAGTTACTATAATAATATCAGGGTACTTGCAGCATATGATGAAGCATTTTCCTTGATGATTGTCATATAAAAGGCAAAGTTACCAGCCCAGCAGTATCCCACCTGAATGACTTGCAGAACATGGTTAAGTGATATCTGCAGTCTTGAAATGCTTAAATAATATCTGCTGTAATTCATGTGCCAGCATGACTGTACTGGCAAAAATGTATGGGCATTTTCAGAGATAAATCTATTTTATCCATAAATGACATAATATAGCATCATCAGGTTACAATACAAGAATACCTGTTAATCTGCCAAATAACGTAAGTTGTTTACTGGGCAATTTTTCAACCCCCCCCCCCTCCATCATCAGTTCATCACCCATGAAAATCCATCATTAGTTTAATTAACAGAGTTCCCAGTAAACCCATGTTATCAGGAGAAATCTGTAGCTTGTAGGCTGTACAGCTCATCCTAAAGGTTGGAGTCATCAACTGATTATATCCAAACAAGACAGCTTCTGTTTGATCATGATAAAAGGCACCTGGGAGTCTAACGGTTAGATGAATCATATGGAGTATTTCAGAACATGGGGATGTTATGATGATAATATAGCCAAAGTGGACTGATTTTTGGCAGTTTAATAACTTGAACTGAAATAACTTAAAATTTTCAAACATGTCATTTGTTTAAAAATACTATTTCATTTTCATTATCACAGTTAATGGCAAACTAACTTCTATTATCAGCGTGAGGTCACTGGATGGCCAATATTTTCAAAGAAGGCTGGACAGCTTGGGAGTTTTTTTGACAAATGATGGCTTGGACTTCCTGAAATTTTGTAGGAAATTACAGGTGATAACTGTGTACCTCTAATCCTGAATCTCCAATCCTGGGAACAGCCCTGCCCAGAACTAACCTCTATTACTCCCATTCCAAGTAGTAACACAAGAACACACTGACGATAGAGATATTTCTTTGAAATTATTTCTTAAAAATTCTACTCACTTTGGGATCCCGTCAGGGATCTCTTGTGTTGGCCAGAAGATGTGACTTTCACCATAACTGAATATCTCGTCTCCAATGAGCTCCTTGGCCCAGGACTCTGTATTGTAAGGAGGGATGAGTCCCCCCAGCTCAGCTGGGAGAACCTCTTTGTGGATGTAGTTGTGAAGGGTGCCGAGATTGTTGCCATGGAGATGGATCTGAAATATTCACCATGGAAACCATTTATATATATACATATATCAATTATTAATTATTTTCTGTTTAATGTCTTCACAAATAAGACAAAGAAAACCCTATGTCACTGCAGTGTAATTACCTTTCCTTTCGTTTTTTCCTTGAGGAACGGCTTCACAACTTTGAGAATGGCCTCCACAAACCAGGGCTGATTGATGAAATGGACGCCACCAAACCTAGCTGGGAAGCAGTCCTAAAATAATTGAAATAAAGAAAAGATTTACTTCATGATTGCCCAATACAATTACATTATTGAAGCAATGAGAATGCACAATCAGAACAGAGATAAATACCATTATGTAACTTAATTTAAAAGTTTCATTGGCTTTTTAGTAGTATAAGGAAATCTCATTCAGCTTCAACTGCACTTTTTTTAAAATCTGGAAAGCCCCTTGTACACAAACATACAGACCATATAAAGTTATTTTCATTTACATATTCAATAATAATTCAGATATTGCACAATAACTATAAGCATGCCCCTACCTGTAAACCTTCCACCATAGACTTGAGCAACTTGGGATTCACATATGTCGACTGTTTAAATGTGAATTCTGTCCAATCAACAACAATCACAAATCCATTAATCTGATTGGCTTCCTCCTCTATCAGCCTCTCCAATGTTAGTAATATTGCACGATAAATTGACGAGAGACTGTAGCGAGAATTATCCCAATGCGCAGCAAATAGCACCAAAATTTTTCGTCCATTGTGGTCGGCGTAAGGCAGCACGCCTGGAAGACTGTCGAAAAGTGCATGTTTTATACCCATCTCTGAGGCACAAAACTTGTGGAATAGTTGAGTATTTTTCTGGCGATATTCAAAGTATTTACACAGTAATTTGAATGCCTCATCTGTGTCAAATTTTCTTGCTCTGAGGAACCGTAAAATGAATGCATCATCTGTTCTGAGGAAATCTGAAAAATAAATGTGTCCCTGGGGTAATGGATTTTTTTTTCTTAGACATGCCGTGGTCATAAAATAATATTACTTTCATGTGATTGTATGATAAAAATGCTTTATTGCACAGGTATTTATTATAAAAAATTCACATATTTCAATTTATCTTATAATTTATCATGTCAGAGCTGCATACAGTGTATTTCACAATTTTTTTTTCTTAATTCAAATATCAGCATGAATAAACAAATTATTTAATTAATATACAAGCAAACAAATAAGTAAACGGGTAAAACAGATCTAACAGAAAAAGAAGACTCACTTATATCTGTTTTGGACTCGATCTGTTCTCTCACAGTCTCTATGTCTTGTCGTCTCCTCTCAGCTATCTCGTTCAGCTCTCTATGGGCCTTCCTCATCAGCTGTTCTGTAAGACCCCATCCATATTCTGCCATGGTTCCCTGGTGAACCAGCTTTTTTCTGAAAAGTTAGGACACAGTTTTGCACACTAAAAAGAAGCAGCTTTTTCTGAAAAGTAAGGACACAGATTAGCACATAAAACGAACCAGTTGTTTCTGAAAAGTTAAGACACAGATCAGCACAAAACGAAAGAAACTAAGCAGCTTTTTCTGAAAAAAAATTAATATTTAGTTGTCATACCACTAGACAAGTGTATTTCTACTCAGAGTCAACATTTTGTGTTATTGTTTTCAAAGTTTTTAACTATGACTGGAGTTTTCATGGAGTGGCAATGATATTCAATGCAGACATTAGTCCTCCCTTCCACTCTCTGTCACAACAGATCCACTAGATCACTTTGTCTTCCCCTCCAAATTTATAACAGTGTTCATATGCTCTTTCTTCTTAATTCACAACAATGTCACTACAATTTTACAATGGCTATATTGTCAGTCTATTTTCACAAAACAGTGTGGCGATAAAAAAAAAATACTAGCACACAATATCTCTCTCTCTCTCTCTCTATTGCACACCATATACAGTATGTCCTTTTACTAGTATCAAACACTGCACCTACAGCTCAGCCCACAGTAACAACCTGGCAACAGTAGTAAACCTAATATTGGAACTGAAATCTCTGCTGGTTACACCTATAAGTCACAAACTAAAATTCTCCACTACAGACCACAAACCCAGCTTGCTAAGGGGTGTTCCCACTGAAGCTATTATACTCCAAGTGTGAATTTGAACCTTCCATGCCTTACACAAGCAATTTTTGTGGAAATGTCTTCTGACAGTACTGACATTTGTATGGCTTCTCTCCAGTGTGAATTCTTTCAGGAGCAAGGCAAGTCTGTTTTAGAGTAAATGTCCAATGGCAATATTGTCATTTGTATGGCTTCTCTCCTCTGAATTCTTTCACGTGTTACACAATCTCTCTCTCTTTTTTTTTTTTTTTTTTTTTTTTTTTTGGGGGGGGGGGGGAGTAAATGTCTTCTTACAGTTATGGCAAATGTTTGTAAAATTGGTTTCCCTTCTATGTGCATGTGTCCGCAGCGTTGCCAAGAGCCACTTGCCTACTGTAGCATAAAGCAGAGATAGAACTTTACAGCTCCCAAAAATCTGCCAATAGTTGGAAAAATTTCATCTCTGGTATATAGTGCCCAATAAATATGCAGACAACCTGACGATAAACATGCAGTACCTATTTGCTGAGTGGAATCAACAATATTTCTTACCTATTAATGTATTTCACTTTTATATCACCCTATTTTCTTGTGAATGGCTGTTTCCTGTGTTTATTTGCAACCAAACTTTTTTCTTCTTCTTTTTCTTCTAGCGTATTGTCAGGTATAGAGCAATTTCGGATGATCCGGCCGCCAAAGAAAATTTCCCTAAATGTTAAGCACTAATACATTCCATTACGCAACCAAGACATGGCCTGACATACAGCGAACGGAAAAGAGATAATAAATCATTTCAGGTACTAGTAAATTATACCCTGTATTACCAGATGGTGCTACAGAAAAGCTTACTTCTCCCCTCATCCGGAGCGCCGTTATAGAGGTGTGAGTAAATACCCTCGCCCTCGGGTGAAATAAATTTATCCTCTCTCTCTCTCTCTCTCGGAGTTTTACAACTACATCACATACCTGTGGGATTTGAATACTTAACCCCTCTTTGCAGTTGGGGGTCTTCCCGGTCGGTGGGATAGCTATAACGGTTCTTTTTCCTTCGTGATCTGTCAAATTGCTGTAACCGCCTGGTTTACGACTGATTCACTCGCTTCCTTGCGTCTGATCGTTTTCAGCATAAATTATGATAAAATGAAAAATGTATAATGAAATATATGCTTCCACGCGAAATATAATGTGCGTTTTCGTTATTTAAGTGGTTATTCATTGAGAACCGCACTCCTTAAATCTTTGTAAATAAATGAGTCACCGGTCGCACATTGTCGCTAAGTGTTGACAAAAGAAAATGTGCCGGAAATAGCCGGAAGACCGGTGCTCGCTCATCCCGAGGTGAAGGTAAGTTTGATCAGTGATTTGTCTAAAATGTTACTTGTGAGTGCATTTCTTATCGCCAGATGGCAGCACCGTATATTGCAAGGGAGATAAAGTAGATATAGTAGGTTTCTATTAACGACTTTTTAGAGTGAGTGATCAAGTAACATGTTTACTTCTAGATCTACATTGTTTTAATTAATTTTCCTGTTTTAATCATTTTTTTACTTGCCTTTTAATTTTTTTTTTTCATGTTATTTTGTACACTGAACAAATTTGGATTTCAGACTCAACATACATACTAGTACTTATACATAGTATTTTTATTTTTAGAATTATCATTTTTTACACTGTAACAGTTGTATTTGACGAAGTTCCCTTGTGATCAAATTTTGATAAAGTCAAAAATATGCACTTACTCTAGATCAAGAAACTAATAAAAAATTTACATCTTTAAAAAAACAATAACGGCTTTAACTCCAAAGAATCATCAGTAACATAAGACATAAATAAATAAATAATAAAAAAACTGTAAACTAGGGTATTCCACCTATTTATTTCACCATTTATTTATTTATTTATTTTTATTTATTTATTATTATTATTTTTTTTTTGTATCAACCTTTGAATACTCAAGACAAGTACAGCATGCACTTTTTAACTCATTGACAATTAAGCACCATTTTGATTTCGTTGACCAAATAATTACATCATATCCATATATTTGCCTGTATTCTGGTATGACAATGTGCAATTTTAATTCACATAAATGTATATGGCAGTCTTTATACAACACGTTACAAGGAAAGCAAAATTAGTTTCCTTCCTGAACTGCTGCCAGACTTTAAAAATCTGATGACAGTTTTTTTTTTTTTTTTTTGCAACTTAAAGGAAAGCTGACACATAATTCTTCCTCATCCACAGTCGATCATGGTCACTAGAGAGAAGACCAAACTGGTGCAGTGACAGCAGCTTAGTGTCAGTGTCTAAACCTGTTGTTGTTACTGTTGGGATGGGTGCAAAGACCTCCCCCCCCCCCCTCCTCCAGTTTTTGCCAGGAAAATTTCTGCTCTGGTAAAAGGTCCTTTTTATCAGAAAAAGACCTCCCCCCCCCCTTTCTGAAATTGCTTTCTACGGGCAGATTTCTCCAATACAGCAAGTATAGTCATAACAATTAGGAAAGCACTGTAATAATTTCCCCGCCATCTTACAAGGATATACTGGCCATGATTTTTTTTACCAATTATAATTATCAGTTTAGCAATTATTCAACTTTTTATATCACATGCAATGTAACACTGTAGTTAAACTTGTGTCTGTTATAAATTTTGCACTTTAGTAAACAGCCCCACTGGTCTCGACTCTTCCTCGCCCACTGCTTCAATTGCCAACTGGAAAGAAATAATTTCAAAAATAATTTAAAATACATAGAATATAGAGTGAGAAATAAAATACGTAAATCTAAGCTTATACTGGTTCCAGAGCTTCTGAATCTGATGAATGAGTCATGTATCCTAAAATTAATATACCTTTGTGGATAATGTCAACACTCTGAGTTAATATCATCATTTTGAAGGCAATCAATAGGTTGGTAAAATAAGGGGAGCAGGTCTTAAATTTATCTGTGAAAGGCAACTTTGTCAGATGAGTTAAGGAGAGCAGGCCTTTGGTTCATCTGCGAAAGGAAATTTAGATAAAATAAGGGAAGCCAGCCTTTAGGCTATCTGTGAAAGGCAACACAGTAACCTAAAATGCTTATCAGATGTTAAAAAGATACATTTTTGACCAAGTCATTTAAAGAAAACAGATTCCGGGACTTAAAATTATTATTAAAAAAAAAAAAAACTTACATTTCTGGCATCAGATTTTCCAATATCCCCCCTCAGTGCCATCAAGTTAACCAGCTGCTCAGGGTGGACGTCAGGGTGCTTCTGGGCTATTGTCTGCAAGAGTGGGGAAATAAAATCAAGGTACATTCAAAATGATTAACTATAAATACAATCAAATAAAATCAAAATACAGTCAATATAATTAAATATAAATACAATTCTCATATCAAAATGTCTTGTTTTCATAAGATGTCAACAAGTTTTTGCTTCTTCATAATTTCAAGTGTTTTACTTTGTGGGCAGCAGTCATCTAAGTAATGGCAAATGATGGAAAATCATTTCATACACTTGAATTTAAGCCAAAAGACACTCACATTCATATCTATTGTATTTGAAGTGAAACTTAAAACAAACCAATTATGTTTTCACATTTTATTCGCTTTCTTGCAGGCTTTGAAGCTCACAGATCCAATTCTTACAGATGTTTTTTCTTTCAAACAAACTAACAAAAATATCTTCACAAAACCTGGCAACTTACAGAAATTTCTAGAGCCAACATAGCAGTGTCCTGTAACTTCAGTACCTCAGCCAACATAGGGAGTGTGTTGATCATGGCCTCTTGCTGAAATCACAACATACTATGATCAATGAAAAGGACACATTTAAAAATAAATTACCTAATATGTGAATGATGTGTTGGTGTGTGAAAGGTGGCACTGTTAAATGTGGTATTGTGGAACATGTGACACTTTGTTAGTTGTGACACTTTGTTAGTTGTGACAGTGTGTTAGGTTTGGCCATGTATTAGGTATGGTAGTGTGTGTAGAAGTAATGTGTACACTATACCTCAGCAGACACAGGGGCCAGGCGCTGGAAAGTGTTAAACAACTGGTCAGCCTCCTGTACTATTTTATCACCGGCAGTGCGACGATCTTCATAGTTCCGGAAAGTGATCTTCCTATTAAGCAATCAACATGCAACATTTTATGATCTTATCTTTTACACATGGTTTTAGAGGCATTCTACTTCAATTTACATTGGGGGGGTGTGTGTGGATGGGGGGTCAAAGGGCATAAATACAACACCCAAATACCCTAAAATTCATGTAAGTCTGGACAAAATTCATCATCAGTGAATATAGCACTCACCTGCTGGGAGTCACCAGTGCCTTGATGTATTCCAACATGACCCTCTCCAAGGCAGTCACCATGATGTGGGTGAAGGACTTTGGTTTGAGGTGAATAAAGTCAGAGCAGTAATCTTCTACTGTGATACATATGGTGTCTATGGGAACCTGGGAACATATAAAATTGCTGCGTTCATTTGAAAATAACTCTATTCTCTACTATTTTCAATTTACTTGAGTGAATTCAAGTGCCTGGTGTTAATGTATGATTACACGGAATGTTTTATACCTTTTTTATTCATTTATTCTTACTTTCTTCTGCATTTTTCGTCAATGATAAATTTAGGAACGAGATCAGTCTTCAAATCAAGAGCACACTTAGCCATACCAACAAAATCTTACAAAATCTTAGCTGAAATTCAAACCAATAATGATTAAAACAACAATTTAAGACCTATGGTCCCTTCAATTATCACTGTTCTTACAGCATTTATTACCTGACTATTATACCACTTGTCTCGTGTGAGAAGTGCATCCAAATGTTCACGGAGATCCATAAACACCTCCTCCAGTAAGTAGCTACAGCTGAGAAACGAAAATAATTTTGATGTTACACACATGTAATATAAAATTTATGGAAACGGAAACCACAGGAAATCATTCAATTAGTATAAATAAATTATAATACAAATTATAATGCAAAGAGAAAGGACAAAACTAGAGATGAAAACTTTAAAAACATCAAAAAATAAAAAATATATTAGATACCACACGGCCTTTAGGGATTTCACCTCAAATGAATAGTACAGGCTTTATTTTAGGGAAAATATTTAATATGGTATCAATACAAACCACCTAAATTTTAAAACATGTAAACCAAGATCTAACGTAATAAATTTTAGTATTATTTCCTTAGGCTTGTACATTATATTGAAATATATATAACAATCTGTATTGTGTTTACATTATGAATGTTAAAACTTTAACTTCTTGATTGTGATTTTAAATAAATTATCATCATCAGCATCATTATCATTATAGTTTTTTTTCCTTATGATTATTCATATCAAAAATAATAACTGCATTAGAAGACTCACCCCTCTCTGGAAATGGATTCAAATATCTTGGCCATGGTTCGGAACCTCTTGTGCTCCGTGGCAGAGTCCCCCTTGATGTACTTGTTACACAGGTGATCCATGAGGTCCACAAATGCCAGGCAGTTGTTGATGTTGGCCATCTGGAGGAAAGGAAAAGGAAGAATAGCAAATCATCATCACCATTGGGAGCAATCCACTCTCAGCAGGTTAGCCGTCATGGATTGCCATGTGACATAAATAGCAAATATTATGCAAATTACAACTGGACTTTAAATCCAGTCTTCTAGTAAGTGCAGCAACAGATTAAAATGTAATTTATGTTGAAATAAATATCAATTGATTTTTTATAATTATAGTTATTATTGTTTCCCAATTCAAATATTTGCATTGAGCTAGAAGAGGACAAAGTGAAGTCACCATATAATGGATGTAGCAAGGAGGCTGCCCTCTATCTTCAAAGTGTCGTTCTTTATATCGCCTCATCTCTCCTAAAAAAGAAAAAAAAAATTTTTTTTTTTGGTCAGTTTGTTTATTTATACACCTGAAACATTCGTTCCAAAGTAGCATTATCAAGTTAAAATATATGTACATTAAGACACGGAGCTTTGAAAGACCGACTAGCTATCTGGTAGGACCTGCCAGTAGTCACATGCTTGTCTCAAAGTTTAAGCCATGCACATCTATGTAAATATTTTCACACAGCAAAAATGCCTCAAAATAGGCCTTAAAAGACTTATAAACATAAAAACATAGAATCTTACCACTGAACATTTTGGCAAAAGCCTGCAGTTCATCTATGCACAGATCCAGCACCTTCAGGGTAAGGTCCTTGTTGATGTGAGCTGCAACTTGGAGCTATAGATACAGATATACATATATCATTGTTTTTATAACAATTATTGGTAAGAATAAGTTAGGTTTAACAGTATTTTTGAATGTGTTACGTTTTTTTTTTTTTTTTTTTTTTTTTTTTTTATGGTAAGTGTGAGTGTAAGTCAGCAAGCTTAAGAGAAAACCCTGGCTCTCGTGTGGTCTACTGTTATAGTTTTTTAACAGAACATGCTTGAATTATTTCTACCTGAAACCTTTTGGCAATCAAACCAGAGCCGTACTTAAATCCTAACGACAAAACCTGGTAATAGCCTACACCTTGCTCAATGGCTTAGATAAAATACATGTTACATACTGATATAAGTATTAAGCTGTGAAATAATTTCTGGAGAAGACTTACATTCTGTTCAATCATCTCAAATAGAATGATAGGCATTGGAGTGCTGAAGTAACCTTGAGCATCTGAGTCAGGTTTGATCTCCCGAAACCAGTCCTTGGAAAAGAATAAGACTTGTATACAATCAGCTATACAATCAGTCTGCAATACCAGCCCTCTGATAATTAGTACATTTGTTATCAAACTGTTACTGGTAAAATATATATTTTTCAAATTTAGAAGACATCAGGACCACTGGGAATTTGAGCATTTATTTTAAATGATATTCAATTATATATACATATGGTCCTCAAACTATAAAATTTTGATTCAGATTGTAGATTTCTGAGCCTATTCTTAATTAAGCTGCTACCCCACTACCGCCCACTGGTCACTACTGCCCACCTTTAGATCTGACTGCAGAGCCTTGCTCATCCAGTCTTCTATATCCTTCTTCATAGTGGTCAGGTACCTTGAAATGTAACAGTATGATTTATTTCATGTTTACTCATAATATGTTATTTCATGTGAAGATGATAATATTCTAATCAAATAAATAAGATGAAAAACTTTTTTAATTCATAATTATTAATGTTTGGACATACCGGTACATTATAACATGATTTAGCATTTAACTTATCACATTAACCTTTGTATGAAGAGTATGAGAGAGAGACAGATTATTATTTATAAATCAGAATCTAAATGATTTACTTAAAAAAGAAAGAATGGATTAGAACTGTGCACTGACTTTTGTTGCAGATCCTCCAGAACACTGTTCTCCAGGAGAGGGCCCAGGTTGTCTTTGTTCAAATCTTTCAGCTCAGGATGGTTCATCAGGTGAGTCGACCTGAACGGACACACAATTTCAGAGATTGTTGAGACTTAACATCACTTATCAGCAGGTTGTACACAGAACTTCAGAGATTGTTGACCTCAAATCACTAGTCAGCATGCACAGGATATGCTGTTTCCTGGACCAGGCATCTCTGAAGCTCTGGGTGTTTAAATGGGACCTTATATCTTCAAACTTGAGCATGAATATTCAACTGAATGTAAAATACTACAAACAATATCTATAAGTTCAGGGTGGTTGAGAGACTTAATTACCTATCAGCATAAGAGAGAGAGAGAGGAGGGAGAGAGAGGATGGATTCAAACCACTCACCAATATGCATTCACCCAGGTCAGGAGTGAGACTATTTCATTCTTTTCCAAATCCTGCGATATTAATTCCAAAATCTGAAACATAAATTGTAAATAACAATTACTGAGGCAACCTTTCATGTCAACTCTTTTTTCAATGAACATTGTTTAGCTTAAAATCACTTAATATGTCTTTGGTCATCTCAACATTTTGTTCTACTGAATTATCAAATTGATGAAACTCTATCTATCCTGGGAGACTGATAAAATAACAAGGCTAAACTCCACATTATACTTTCTTTTTCACTCTGATACATTCTGTTGCAGTAGAAAGTTAACAGTTCTTCAATCTTGTATAATCTTTTATCCAAAGTTTATAACTTATTTATTTATTTATTTATTTATTCATTTATTTATTTATTTATTTGTTTATATCAATGCTAACTCACATGATTTCCTATGGCTTCATGGTACATCTTCAAGTATCTCTGTACAACATCATATTCTGGTGGAAAACAGGGCTCACACACTGACTGGTATAATAATAATAATAATAATAATAATAATAATAATAATAATACCTTGAAATACCATTATAACAATTTTGTCTTTTGTGTAATGATCAAGGTTGAGAAACCTTGGGTCTCTTCAGAAGCTACTCATGTTTTATCAGTAATCATATAATCTATTTCTTGCATAGAAATTCAGATGGATAATATACCTAAATTACATTTGCAGGTTCTAACAAGAGTACAATTATGCCATGGTCATAGTAATGGTCAGTGTTAATACCTTGACCACCCTGAGGTCTTCTATGGTCAGCTGTCTGGTGATCTCTAGATGTCTGACCAGCCACATCTTTTCCAGGGTCCGGTCTTCAAGCTGGCTGCCCTCAATCCTGAAATCAGAGTCATTAATTAAGTGGAAATGAGAATGAGGCACCTAAATGGAGTTCAGGTCCTCAAGTTTGATGCCATCAGCCATAAATGGAGTGGGAACAAAAATTAGGCAGCTGTATTGAGTTGCTCTTGATAAAGTCAGCTTTCCTTAATTCTGAAAATACTATCATGCTATCATACTAATCCTATAATAATGAAATTAGGAACATAAATGTTTTTGATCTATATTGTTTAACTAATGTTTAACTATCACCTTTACAAAACAAAGGTAATATATGGGTGAAAATATGAAAGAAATAACAAGAAACTTTTTACATGCTTTAAAATAAATCATTTTATCAGAAAGCACAAATTAATATCATTATGGATCTAATTCTTACCTGGCAGCAACAGCTTCTCCAAGCACCTCAAAACACTTCTCTCTCCATTTCTTAGGTCTACCAGGAGGAAGAAATCCTGTCTGTTCTTGTCTCTTCAGCATAAAACTGTCTTTCCTGGAAACAAAAATTACTTCCAATGTTATCAAACACTCAATTAAAATAATGAAAAGTACTTCCAAGAGTAAAATTTAATCTTAAAGTTGTTCAATACAATGGGCTGGGTTCAGGCCAAATAATCATTAATACAGTCAATACCACTGATGTATTACCCAGCATAAACTCATTCTTTCTTTTACCAACATATGTCCCTGCTTGGAAGTACTAGTACCAAAAAAAAAATTAACTCAAAACTAACTTTCAACATAGATTTTTCATTGAGACCAGAAAGTATGCTTTCTAACATTTCTTAATTACAGTGGTAGCCATAGCAGCAGTAACCATAGCAATGGTAACCATGGTGACTTAAGTCCTACCAACCTCTCCTCCCTCTCTATGATCCTAAGTGCTGTTACTATGGCGGTGGGGTCTCGCCGGACGGTGGTCAGTGTTCTCTGGAGCCTGATCCACAGTTGCTTGCCCAGCTCCTGGGACAGCGTGCTCACATCTTTGAAGTAATTCAGAATCATCTGGAGAGGTAAAGGATCTGTTAATTAATCAATCAAATTATTTATCTATTCATTTACCTATTTAATTATTCATTTATCAGAGATGAAAGTGGACCTTTGAAAATTCTAAAGAATGCAAGAACCTCAGAGGAGGGAGCTAAAACAAAGACTTTCATCTCTAATTTATTCCTTTATTTATTTACTTATCAATGTCCAATTATTACCTCTGCCTGTTTTACCTCTGGTTATGTTTTCACCCATGTTTGTTTGTTTGTTTGTTTGTCTGTCTGTCTGTTTGTCATCAACATAACTCAAAAAGTTATGGATGAATTTTGATGGAATTTTCAGGGTAGGTCAGAAATGGGTTAACTGAGAAGTGATTAGTTTTTGGTGGTGATCTGGATCAATAATCAATAATCAAAAATCTAAGTTATGGACTGATTTTGATGAAATTTTCAGGAACTGTCAGAAGTGGGCCAAGGAACAGATGATTAGTTTTTGGTGGTGATCCGGATCAATAATCAATCAATAATATCAATCAATAATCAAAAATCATAAAACTAAATCATTATAGAATGAAAATTTAGGGGTGAAACGGCATTGGGTGGAGACTTTGCTGCCTTGGCGGAGGTCTGTGATCTCGGAGCGCTTTTCTAGTTTATCCATTTACATATGTACTTATTTATTCCTTTGTTTGTTTGTTTATTGTATCATTCATTTGGATACCAGCTAATTTTGCCACAAATTTTACACAAGTATAATAAACATGTTCGTCATGCTTGTATCATGTTTTACTCACATTTTTATCAGTTTGGCTCACAGATGGCTGCCTGTCCAGTTCAAGGAGGAGATCATCTCTGGACATCTCCAGATCCGTGAGACTGAAAGGAATTATTAGTAATTTTTAGATATCTCTTGGTCAGTATGATTGGATATGATTGGAAGCATCTTATCAGTAAGAGACATTTATATACTTAATAATTCAAACACAAATTACACTTGTCTGATGTATTCCTAGATATCATCAGCAATCTGCACCTTTTTTTTTTTTCTTAATCAACACCTCACTTCACTGCAAATATCTGCCTAATTTTCCTAGCCATATCTGATGGCAAAAAAGCCAAATCATAAGAGAAACAGAATTGTCCTTTCCCCACCACACTCTCTCTCTCTCTCTCAAACATACACGCACACACACACTCTCTCTCTCAAACTTCACTCTAAATCCACCTGTGTTGAGTATTTACCATTTGTGAGCATGCAGCAGCTTTCCATCAGTGATAAGTTCCCCTGTCTTCTTAACTGTCTCTGGCACAGTGAAAATATGTTTTAAATTCTCCACTGCAGCAGCCAGCTATAAAGAAAAAGATATGTCAAGTATAATACCAACAATCTGTATTAGTGTATAGCATCTCCACAAACCACTGTGTTACTGAGTACATAATTTTTTTAACTCTACCTGTTCTTAGCCACACAATGAACAGATTCAAAATAGGTTTAAGAAAATGTAAAAATATCATTGCATTGAAATTTTCATGTGGATCTGGGGCATAACATACCTGTCTATGTCTTAGATTCTCATCTCTAACTTTGTTCAGTTTCTCTTGAAGGTGTGCAGTGGATTTATACGTATCCTCCAACTCTTGGAGACTGCAAAGGAAAATAACTGCTCTGAATAATATGCAACTTGTTTATGAAGATTTCTGGACACCTTTTTTGGAATTAATTTCTGGACTTGGCTTTCAACAGTGAGTAAAATGATTAGTACAGTTTTGTTTGAGTTTTGTGAGTATTAACTGTCGGTAATAGAAATCCATGACCAAATACAGTGAGTGGTTGCCATGATACAGTGAGTGGTTGCCATGATGCACTGTACCTTTGTTTGGTCTCCTTGACATCATGTAACCCCGCCTGGAGTTGTGACAGACCAGTCCTGACACCTTCCAACTGAGACTGGAGGGCCGTCTTCAACATGGCTTCAACTGCCGCCTAAAACAAAACACCATTTAAAAATTATATAGACATACCAGTAGGACAGTAGGAACCATCATCTGCAGGGCCATCTTCAACATGGCTTGAACTTTCGCCTGGAACACATCATCATTACAAATATTATATAGATATAATGCAGTAAGAGCCATCATCTGGCAGCACTTTCAAGAGGGGGGGGGGGGGGTGTCTGAAAAAAGAACCTTTCACTGTGTTGGTGGATTAGAGGCACCCCTAGATCTGGTGTGTGTATGTGGAATATGAGGTTTGTGGCCTGCCCTACCTCCCAGATCTGCCACTGAGATATTCAGTGGTACCCACCTTTTTGCGCACAACCCTCCTTTTATACTGGTCCACCTTTTCCAGCTGATCAGGTCTCTGGATCATGGCGGCTACCTGCTTGGTAGCGTTCCTCTTAGCGTCCCCCTCCAGCTTCTCTAGGTCCAGTGGGACCAGGTGAGACATACTGGATGTTTACACTGAATAAGAATTTAGATAAAATAAATTATTTTATTTAAATCTGACTATGGGGTCAATTTCTCGTTACTTATTAACTGATTGAATTGCTTTTTGCTTTTTTATTTTATTTATTTATTTTTAAGAATTGTCACTTGTACAAATCTTGAATACTAGTAAATCAGCTGTACATATGCCACATGCAATAGGTTGTTTTAATTATATAATCTGCAAATCTAACAAGTTTTGAATGGGATAGGAAACCGACTTCATGCCACAGGATGTGGGTTGACATATATAAAAACACTTGCCACAATGCCAGGGTACCGATTATGAACTATTTGGCAATTTGCACGGCAATTAGCAGAAATCGGTCTTTAACGCCCCTCCTTCCTTCGCTTTCATCACATTTACACACTGGTCAAAAACGCCTACTTACGCAAAGACCCCCTTCTTCTGTGCTTGCAGAAATGAATCGGGTTTGTGTCAGGTCCAGGGGAAAATAAATTTCCTTCTTCCGCGACCTTCACCTTATTTGTTCTCGTATCCTCACGTTACGTGAGCGTAAATCTCGTCGTTGACGTCACTGTGTCAGGAAGAAAGCGGACTGTCGTTTTACGCCAGTGAAAGCGTGAAAAATTCTACTCTGGCGGCCTGTTTTCTTTACGTCAGTATGATGAGGATTTTAAATTGAGCTGAGGTTTTCTGGGGTCGCAAAAGAAAAATAAAACGTGAGTACGTTTGATTGTAATTAGCGTCGTTATTACATATTGCTACGGGAGGCCGTAACGTCTCCTGCACGCAAGAGAGTGATTGACATGTGAAGTAATGATGTCATTTCCGCTTTCACTTCAACACGTGCTTCCTGTTACTCATGAATCATGTTGATATCCGCAAGATTGTGGTGCAACAAAATTCAAACAATTTTGGTAAGGCAAAGCACATTTAATTGTGAAATCTGTTACATTAGATTGTTGGTGAAAAATGGCTGCGAGCGGCACAGTCAAGCATTTATGTTTTTCAAAAGAAGAAAGGAATTTCAAATAAAAAATAGTTTTAAAATTAAAAGTATTACTGTACCCCAGTATGTGCATATGTTGAAGTAAAAGTACTAGGAAGTGATACAATGTAATATTATGTAATAGTTTCATTTTCACTCTATACTAGTATTCGAAACAGGTTTGGATGTCTTTATCGCTCGTATTATTTAAAAGAGAGCATGGTTGTTATTTCAGTATGTAAAATTGCTAATGGTGCTGTGAGCAATGTCTAAGTAATACACACTTTAAAGAGATAGTAAATATTCAGCAATTTCTGTCATTTTTACAGGTAGTTCATACATTGGCTTTCAATGAACATTGTTTAAAATCCTCCAGTTCATTAAAATTGTTTTATTATTATTATTATTATTATTCATAATCATTACTGAGTATTTGAAAAATAACTGTAATATGGTTTAGCCAGCGAGATATGGGTTAAGCCAGGATTTTGAAATAGTTAATCCATTTTCTTATTGAGACAGGCCTTTTAGCTCCTATGGGCTTCAATAATGAAATCCACAATAGAACAAGTAGGATTATGTCCTTCATTTAAATTAACTTAGTGACACTGAAAAATTACATATCCTTATATACTTCAGATAATGGAAGATGAGATAATAGTTGTGACATGTGGTACCATCACAGGGAAGTTACACAGGGAAAAGTTCCTGTGTCCAGGCATTCATCAGAGCTGTATTGAGACAGAAGACGGAAGTTTTGTCACACCTAAGATGTTCTCTGTGATGGGAGATAAGGAAAAACTGAAAGACTGGAAAAACGCAATACGTATCAATGGAACAAACTTTAGGTATGAGATTTTAAAAAGTATTATATATACATTATATTAAAGCTTACATTTATTTTATTATTTTTTTTTTTTTTCACATTTGGAGTTTTCTTTAGAGAAAATAATTAGAAATAAAAAATATACCCAAATAAATTGTCTTTAGAATACATTGATTAAGATGTGCGATATGTACATGCATTTGTAAAGATCATTTCACATATTTTGCTTTCTGTGTAAATTTATTCAGAAAAGACACTTTTCAAAGTTTGTCCTTTTCATTACTCTCTCTCTATATATATATTGAGTTTGTTATTATTCTTAGAAACATATTATTCAGTTGCTTTGTCAGTTAATTATATCATATTGTTATTGCCAGTTTTTGTTAATTTTATTTTTGTTTCTGTGTAATTGTCTAGTTCTCATTATTTTCTTCACCAGAAAAATGATGGACACTGGACAACTAGACTTCTTCAACCATTCCGTCCACTGCTCAGGACGTTGTATAGCACGTACTCCGCTGACCGTTGGCAGTTTGGAGACAAAGACGACCAAACCCGAAATCAGTCTAAATCCGCCAACGATGACCCCAGTTACTCAAGCAGTATTCAACCCCATTCCGGAGCTCACAGAGCATGCTTACAGCTCCCAGTCTCGAACAAATCGCTGGAAGACCGACTCCAGTAGCTCATCGTCTATGAGCAGCAAAAAGAAATCATTATCGCAAGCAGTATTTCCACATGCTGTGTTAGTGTCAGCGACCGGCCCCGTGACCTTCACAGATGACATCAGCAATCAAGACAGTGGAGGATCTAATTCAGACAAGGAACCAGGAATTAATAATAATGGCTCTTTTGTGAATGGAGATTCACATGACAGTGAATTTGACTTGGATATTAAACCGTCCGCAGATGAGTTACAGAAGCTGGCAATGGCAGCATGTCGAGGTCTACCTGGCGAGGATGAAGCAGTGCTGGGTACGTTGTTAATTGTTGTAACATAATAATTTGTGAATAGAGTGAGCAGTTGTAAATATATGTACAGTCATTACATAATTGTACCACCAGCGTTAGCGCTGGCGGTACACATGGTTTCNCCTTACTTTGTGTATGTGGGGGTCTATACGAATGCGCTTGCTCCAGCTGGTGGTACAATATTCGGAGGCGGTATCGCCTCTCTGATCCTCTAGTTTTCATTGTAAATGTAATTGTAATATGATCAGTTATAAATATTTTAAATAAAATTCTGGTTTTAGTAATTGTAAAGTTAAATTTAATTGTATTATGATGAATTGAAATTATAATTTAAATTTTTTGGGGGCCCGAACGCCATGCCAAGGTGGGGGGGGGTTCACATCCTTGGCCCCCCCTCCCCCCCTTCAAATAATCCTGGATCTACCCCTGGATACCAGTTCCTTGACATTATACCCTTTCAACCTTTCAGAGAGCCAGTTGTTCTGGAGAGGTATTATGGAGGTCGGTCTGCTGGATGAATTCTTCAGAGAAATCAAACAAGGGCTGGACACTTTGAAAAACTCACTTATCAAATCTAAGGCATCAGAGGCGGGTAAGCCACAGATTTTTTTTTTTATGGTAAATTCTTAAAATTTAAAAGGTTTTGCTTCTTTGGAGGTTCAACGTTTTGAGTTACTCACTAAATTTTTGAGGTTTTAGAATAAGTAATAAAATCTTCAGACAGGGTTTGTTAGGTTTTATGATTCTATTACTGACATCGCCATGAAATTGGTTGACACTCTTAATCTCTGCGTATAATTTTTTTTTTTTTTTTTTTTTTTTTTTATGGAAGCCTGAATCAGTTATAAAAGTTACCATGAAGATTGCATTATAATTTTAATCTTAAAAGTCTCATGCTAGAGCTTACTGGTAATGCCTCTTTGTAACTTTTTTTTCTTCTTCTGGATTGCAAACATTTAGATCTGATATTAAAGATAAAGATGGAATTAGAACAAGTCTCACACTTTTGGTTATGCTTGAAACGGAGTCCATACGTTTCAGCCTTATCACAACTTCTATCAGGTGAAATGAAGTTGGGCTGCCACTAATCGGGTCTTTTAAATGTATTAAGCGTTTACTAAAACTACCCACTAACACTGCCCACTGACGCCCATTTTTACCCCAAAACTAAGAATGAACCAACACACCGTACAATTATTTAGCACCAACTAAGTGATACCTAGCACTAACATTCATCTGCTCTGGTAGTGCTCACAAAGGTTTTATTTATTATTATTATTATTATTGTTATTATTATTATTACCTCAGAAGCCAACAGGATCAATAGAATTGTTGAGGAACTGGGTCTCACTGCCAAGTTTAAAGTGAAGTTGTCAGCTTGCCGTTCAGAGACGGAAAAGTTGTCGGCACAGTTAAGCCAAGAAATGGAAGGTAAGGGGGCCAGCGTGGCATTCTTTGTTGTATTGGTTTTAAATGCTGATTAATTTGTAGCTCAGTATAAATGTTTCACAGCAGTATGTTCTGTTGTATTTTTATCTATAAAAACTTTATTTGACACTCTCTGTGACATAATTATCAAAATATAATGCGCTGAATCATTTATTTATTTGTTTATGAAATTTCCTAAGATGGAGTAGACTGAGTTCTTAATGCTGACTAATCATTAAAAAAATTGATAATTTTATTTTTTAATGTTAATATTTGTTTATTGGTTACAAAAAGAGGCCCCTCTCTTTCCACAGATCTCAGAAGAAAAGCATTAGAAATTGAACAAAAGAAGGCACAGCTGAAAAGGAAATCGGTAGCTTTTGAGCAACTCCTGGAATCAAAGTCCGCCAAGCGTACCCCGACAGCCTCACTCTGGGTCTCAGCCAATGGGAAGGGAGATGAACAAATTAAGAAGTCCTAACATATTTTATTTATGTTGTCGTATCAGAATGGATCCCTACAAGAATTCTTTATGACATTTAAAAAAAAAATTTGTCAATAGATTTTTTTCTGGATTTATAAGTGATAGAAATGAGTATGTCAGGTTGTTCTTCACATGAGTTTTATTAGCTTTAAGTGGTAAGGGACATATAATAACAATTTTTTTTGGCCACTTTTGACAAATTTGACTCTGTTTTGAGCTTGCTCACTTCTTTCTTATTCATCTTTTGACTACAGCAGGAATCTCAACAAATAACCTTAATTTGCTTAATGATCGATTCTGAAATTGCGAAAAGAAAAGGACATTTTGTGATTTTTTTTTTTTTTTTTTTTGCTACTGTCTATAATTATTCAAGAACAAAAGAAGTAAGATTTGTTATGGGAACATATTTAAGGTATTCTTGTCATTCATCTTAAGTTTACAAGAAATTGCACTTGTTCTGCATTTTCATTTAGGTCTGTACTTTGGCTTATTATTATTATTATTATTATTTTAAACATTGCAACCATTGAGATCCCCCCTCCTAACCCAGATATTTTGAAGAAGCAATTGCTTACATTCTGAAATGGCCCAGAGGTTTTTTTTTTTTTTTTTTTTTTTTGCTATCCCCCTCCTTATTAGCTTGGTTTCTGCCAGTGGTATTTCATGATCAATTTTGTCTGTTTGTGTTCATGAATTTTTTCAGAAAATATTGAGACACTTACTTTCTGATATTCAGGTTCCCTCTACCACTGCCATACACAGCACTCTTTCACCAGCTAGTCACATGCATATCCTATGTTATTCACTAGCTTTGCTGCCCTGTTTTCTTTTTTGCACAACTACTTCATCACTGAGCTGACCTCCCACTGAAAGTAATATCCTAGATTGGCCAGTTATGTTTAATTATTAATTTTGTTGATTTATATACGTATCAAGCTTTTACACCAATGTAACTAACATGTATCTTCACTTCAAGACAAATTGTGTCCTAATTTTTTCTTAATATCAAACTGAAAAAAATAATTTATCTGCAATTAAATGGTAAAAGTTTTACAGTCTTTATACCAAGCTGTGAGAAATATTTATATTACTTGATTTAATTAGTGTTAATTTATTGTAGGTAATATTTATTGCCATTGTATTATGAAAGTTAGATGTGGTTTTATGGAAATGGAAAAAAAGATGGTGTGTTCTGATAAGCCAGGAGAAAATTTGTGACACTGGAGGGTAAAGGTTTTGAAAGTTTGTTGATGGGACATCTTCTAAAGTAAATTGGGTGTAACGCGGATATCTCGGTATAATTAATACCCTTTGTCACATTGATCTTTTGTATTTATGTGTGAGTCGCTTTTTCCCCTGGTTATAGGTCATCATGTCGAATGAACAAAGTAGTGTATCAGGAAAAAGTTATAATTAATTTTTCATTAATGCGATCTCTGCAAAACTGTTTCTCAGTTGTGGATCATAGACAATGTTAAAGAATTTTGTCATTGGTGTTTTCTTGGTGAGTCATGGAGGCACCACGTGAGTCAAAGAAGGCTAAGCTTTTGGTCTAAAAGTGAAAACCAGCTACCGGTGTAAATGTCTTTGATGGAACCTACCCAAGGAGTACAAGATATTTGGCTAAGTTTCACCATGTCAGTTTGAACTCTTTATGTTTTCAGGTTTTTGGATCAAGGCTAAACTCCGTAGAAAATGATCAGTAAATAAAGTAATAGTAGATGTGAACGAAGTTCAAAAATTTGAAATTTATCCAAAGCTGATTATTTTCACCAAATCCACTATAATTATCATTTATTGATTTATTTGTTTGTTGTGATATGTATGCCATTGGATCAAACACAAACTGGATAGGATGTAGCTTATTATTATTATTATTATTATTATTATTATTGAAAAGTATTGTGTCGAAATGTTTAGAAGTTATGTTATTTCAATAGAAATGAAGAATTTTTTGTCAGTAACTTTGGGAATATCATGATACTTGATCGTCTGCTTACTTTGTACTTCATCTAAGAAGCCATTTCCTGATGAAGTCGGACTGCAAGCAGATGAAATATTGCACGGTGGAGTATCACTTTATTTGTCAAGGTACTGACAAAATATCTTCTACTTTTTCATGCCATTTATTATTCAGATTGAGATCGTTTATTTTCTAGCCAAGTCGATTTTGCTCGTTTCATAGAGCCTCTGGTTCAGCGTTTAAAACAGGGGCATGTAGAAGTCGGAACGAGGCTATTATTCAAACGAACCGATTCATAATTTTTCTGAATCATGTTTATGTGGAATTATTTTGTTATGTTCTGAAAATAAATTGAAAATATGATCTTGTTTGTACTCATTTTCAGTGATTTAAATCACGTGCTTTCTGAAAAATTCTATATTATTATTATTCTTATTATTACCTGTAATTTCATGTACTTAACACGCCAGTTATTTTGCTCATGCAATTGCTGCCAAACATAATTATGATTGTACATTTGCCAATTAGATTTTTAAAAAAATTCAAATAATTTTTATGCAAAATTTGTACTATCGCCCTTCGCCTTCTCTTATAATGCAAAATTGCATTCACAAATTCTTTTAACTCACTAAAGCCGGCGAATTTATCGTGAGAACTTGGGTTGAAACCAATAAGTTTCCACACGTGTTGTGGCACGCGACACGTGCAGCCCCTTGTATAATAAGCGATAACGGCCGGCGGATAGGCCACGAGGTCACAAAAGTATGATATGATAGCATTGTTTTGGGATTAAATCTGTGAGTTAAAACCGTTCCGGAGTGTCATAATGCCCATTTTGACATCAAATATCCAACAGCGATCACACTTTACCCACTCGCCGTAGAACTCGAGTCAGCTTAGCGATGTTTCCCAGTTTACAGGTATGTATTTCCATTTAATGTATATTTTATCCATTTGCGGAGAATATATGTAGAGAAATGCCGCTGGGAAACATTGTTTAAAATGACTTGTGCTATCTTGTAGTCGGTAAAATTTAGAGTTAAATGTATTTTTTTTTCTGGTACATCTTTCCTACGTATTTTACCTGTGAATGTAAAACTCAAGCATTTTAGTTGTAACTTTAAATATCATTATAATAATTTTTTTAAGGGTTGGGTTTCCTGATAAAACTGAAACCTGAGATCTTTCTATAGTGTTTTTTCCTGGCGAAATAGCTGTGCCGGTGTAACGAAACCGAGGGTCCGTGTAACAAGGTCCGCTCTCCATATAGTGATAATGGTTAGGGTTGGTCTGACCAAGGAGCTGGAACGATGGGTATATCCGAGCGCTCCCTCACACTCTTTTTTCGCCACCGCTTATTCAACAGTCAACTGGCTTCATCACCTTATTTTCATGAATTTTAATGATCTCAGGTTTGTGTTATTGTCTCGGTCTGCTTGACCTGTCTTCTGCCCCAGTACGTGCACTGCTCTGGCTGCAAGAATCCTCCACCGGCAAAGAACTTCACCAACAGCAGATACTATGGCTTGTGGTACGAGATTGGTACGTATGGCTCTGTTCACAACCAGTTGATCCGCGGACTAACTGATCCGCGGACCAAATATGGCCGACCCACTTGAAAATTGCCACGTAATTCGTGAGGGGAATCCATAAGGGTGTCACTCGACGAGCTTTCAAGTGAGTCGGCCATATTTGATCAGCTAGTCGGCGGATCAAACAGACCCTATGAAAAACATGCACTCTTTTCCAGTTCATCTGTTTCACCTACGGTCCTGTATTGTCATAAAAATTATTCTTGACTTGATACGGTGCAAGCGCGTGTCATGGGTGTGTCGTATATGCTGCTGTAGCATAGGTGTTAAATCACTACGGGTCCGTGTGAAAGAGTCCGCCCTCTATTAGATTCACACGGTTTAGGGTTAGCGCGACGTAAATGGGTCAAAATCTAGGATGGCGCTTACATGAAGAAATCAAAGGGAACAGTGGACGCTCTAGTACATGAAAATTGCAAAACGATAGATCTAACTCACAAAAAAAAAAAAAAAAAAAAAAACTCAGAAGCTGATCTTTCATCATGAATTTGGAGCCTGAAAAGAACTGAAAACGCATGCTAATAATTTATTCACTGTAATCCCTAAAACTCGGTCTCATCTATATATACGTTTCAACAGGCAAAATCCAAACGGCGGGAGGGGCCTTTTTCGAGAAGGACTGCGTATGCACGACCATTGACGTCAAACCGCTCTCCAACTCTGACGTCAGAGGTGATGCTTCGGTCTTAAACAGTTGCCGGAAGAAGACACCACAAGGAGCGTTTCTTAACGCCACAGGTAATGCTAAAAATCGTCTGAGATAGTCCGAAGTCTAGCTAATTAGGGAAAGAGTCAATCTAGATGTTGGGGAAACCGGAGCAGAGTTTTGTCAGAATTGCACACCAGTAGGAATCCAGTTGGCAAACGACATTGATTCTACGTTGATTCAACGTTGATCCACCAAAATTAACGTTGATATAACGGTGAATCAATGTCGTTTGTCTGTTTGGAAGTTACTCCAACTTGTTTTGCACTACCACTAGCCTTGGACCTAACTAGAGAAGGACAAGTAACGCGGAGAAAGATCAAAGGATAATCGGCTTAGCGCGAGCTCTTCGCGAAACGATGTGCGTTCGGATCACGTGACCTCCCGTACAGGTAGCGAGCATATCGCGGCTGTTGATGACTTTTTGTGTCATTTGGACAGGTAGCTGATGATAACGCGAGGAAAACGTTCGGGTGGATGAGTCAAGACACTTATAGAGATAAAATGTAAGTACAATTTCTTTTGCTATTTTGGATGCTAGATGAGATTAAGGTATGTTTGTTCATGGAGGAATTCAAAATGCCCAATATGGTGAAGGCAATCGTGTTTGTTGCCGTAAAATGAGTGTTTAAAATTGTACAACTGCAGTGTCGAATACTTGTCTTTAGCTATGATCCGATGGAAAAATATTTCTAGTCTCGAAATTTTACCTCTATGTAAAGAATTAGCCTTAGATGCGGCAGTAATTTAACCTCAAATCGTGTTTTGAATTAAAATGACGCAATTCCTTTGCGATTTATTCGACTCGCCGACATCGTTTTAGGTCTGGTATTTTTTACGTACGGTTTAGATAAAGGTGGCATCAACACCGCTGTGTACTATATGTATAGGTTTATGTTACTTGCTGAAGTGAGCCCGAATTATGGAATGATAATTAATATTTTTAACTCTTAATATGGGCTCTCGTTGCAACATGGCACCACACATGCTATGTGACACACAAAAACGCACCTGTGATCCTTTTAATATCCTTTTATCAAAGTTGACATTAACACTTCTCTGAAGTATATATATATTTACACATTACCAGCTACAGTCAGCTNTCATTAATGCGATCTCTGCAAAACTGTTTCTCAGTTGTGGATCATAGACGATGTTAAAGAATTTTGTCATTGGTGTTTTCTTGGTGAATCGTGGAGGCACCACGTGAGTCAGTGTAGGCTAAGCTTTTGGTCTAAAAGTGAAAACCAGCTACCGGTGTAAATGTCTTTGATGGAACCTACCCAAGGAGTACAAGATATTTGGCTAAGTTTCACCATGTCAGTTTGAACTCTTTATGTTTTCAGGTTTTTGGATCAAGGCTAAACTCCGTAGAAAATGATCAGTAAATAAAGTAATAGTAGATGTGAACGAAGTTCAAAATTTTGAAATTTATCCAAAGCTGATTATTTTCACCAAATCCACTATAATTATCATTTATTGATTTATTTGTTTGTTGTGATATGTATGCCATTGGATCAAACACAAACTGGATAGGATGTAGCTTATTATTATTATTATTATTATTATTATTATTATTGAAAAGTATTGTGTCGAAATGTTTAGAAGTTATGTTATTTCAATAGAAATGAAGAATTTTTTGTCAGTAACTTTGGGAATATCATGATATTTGATCGTCTGCTTACTTTGTACTTCATCTAAGAAGCCATTTCCTGATGAAGTCGGACTGCAAGCAGATGAAATATTGCACGGTGGAGTATCACTTTATTTGTCAAGGTACTGACAAAATATCTTCAACTTTTTCATGCCATTTATTATTCAGATTGAGATCGTTTATTTTCTAGCCAAGTCGATTTTGCTCGTTTCATAGAGCCTCTGGTTCAGCGTTTAAAACAGGGGCATGTAGAAGTCAGAACGAGGCTATTATTCAAACGAACCGATTCATAATTTTTCTGAATCATGTTTATGTGGAATTATTTTGTTATGTTCTGAAAATAAATTGAAAATATGATCTTGTTTGTACTCATTTTCAGTGATTTAAATCACGTGCTTTCTGAAAAATTCTACATTATTATTATTCTTATTATTACCTGTAATTTCATGTACTTAACACGCCAGTTATTTTGCTCATGCAATTGCTGCCAAACATAATTATGATTGTACATTTGCCAGTTAGATTTTAAAAAAAAATTCAAATAATTTTTATGCAAAATTTGTACTATCGCCCTTCGCCTTCTCTTATAATGCAAAATTGCATTCACAAATTCTTTTAACTCACTAAAGCCGGCGAATTTATCGTGAGAACTTGGGTTGAAACCAATAAGTTTCCACACATGTTGTGGCACGCGACACGTGCAGCCCCTTGTATAATAAGCGATAACGGCCGGCGGATAGGCCACGAGGTCACAAAAGTATGATATGATAGCATTGTTTTGGGATTAAATCTGTGAGTTAAAACCGTTCCGGAGTGTCATAATGCCCATTTTGACATCAAATATCCAACAGCGATCACACATTACCCACTCGCCGTAGAACTCGAGTCAGCTTAGCGATGTTTCCCAGTTTACAGGTATGTATTTCCATTTAATGTATATTTTATCCATTTGCGGAGAATATATGTAGAGAAATGCCGCTGGGAAAAATGACTTGTGCTATCTTGTAGTCGGTAAAATTTAGAGTTAAATGTACTTTTTTTTCTGGTATATCTTTCCTACGTATTTTACCTGTGAATGTAAAACTCAAGCATTTTAGTTGTAACTTTAAATATCATAATAATAATTTTTTTAAGGGTTGGGCGAAATAGCTGTGCCGGTGTAACGAAACTGAGGGTCCGTGTAACAAGGTCCGCTCTCCATATAGTGATCATGGTTAGGGTTGGTCTGACCAAGGAGCTGGAACGATGGGTATATCCGAGCGCTCCCTCACACTCTTTTTTCGCCACCTCTTATTCAACAATCAACTGGCTTCATCAGCTTATTTTCATGAATTTTAATTATTTCAGGTTTGTGTTATTGTCTCGGTCTGCTTGACCTGTCTTCTGCCCCAGTGCGTGCACTGCTCTGGCTGCAAGAATCCTCCACCGGCAAAGAACTTCACCAACAGCAGATACTATGGCTTGTGGTACGAGATTGGTACGTATGGCTCTGTTCACAACCAGTTGATCCGCGGACTAACTGATCCGCGGACCAAATATGGCCGACCCACTTGAAAAATTGCCACGTACTTCGTGAGGGGAATCCATAAGGGTATCACTCGACGAGCTTTCAAGTGAGTTGGCCATATTTGATCAGCTAGTCGGCGGATCAAACTGACCCTATGAAAAACATGCACCCTTTTCCAGTTCATTTGTTTCACCTACGGTCCTGTATTGTCCTAAAAGTTATTCTTGACTTGATACGGTGCAAGCACGTGCCATCGGTGTGTTGTATATGCTGCTGTAGTATAGGTGTTAAAACACTACGGGTCCGTGTGAAAGAGTCCGCCCTCTATTAGATTCACACGGTTAAGGGCTAGCGCGACGTAAATGGGTCAAAATCTAGGACGGCGCTTACCTGAAGAAATCAAAGGGAACAGTGGACGCTCTAGTACATGAAAATCGCAAAACGATAACTCAAAAAAAAAAAAAAAAAAAAAAAAAAAAAAAAACGAAAGTTGACTTTCATCATGAATTTGGAGACTGAAAAGAGCTGAAAACGCATGCTCATATGTTAATAATTTATTCACTGTAATCCCTAAAACTCGGTCTCATCTATATATACGTTTCAACAGGCAAAATCCAAACGGCGGGAGGGGCCTTTTTCGAGAAGGACTGCGTATGCACGACCATTGACGTCAAACCGCTCTCCAACTCTGACGTCAGAGGTGATGCTTCGGTCTTAAACAGTTGCCGGAAGAAGACACCACAAGGAACGTTTCTTAACGCCACAGGTAATGATAGAGAGTCCAAAGTCTAGCTAATTAGGGAAAGAGTCAATCTAGATGTTGGGGAAACCGGAGCAGAGTTTTGTCAGAATTGTACACCAGTAGGAATTCTAGTTACTCCAACTTGTTTTGCACTACCACTAGCCATATTACGTGTCTGTATGCTTGAGTCGTCACAACTAAACTGATGAACTTCACAGCTTAGAGATACTACTGCGCATGCGTCAAGGTATCAGAATCTCCTCCGAGCGCAGCCGAGAATTAATTACAGCTTTGGAAGTAACTCGCTCGCGCTGCCAGTAATTACGCCGCGGGATATCCAGGGCACAGACCGTGATCACAAGATACCGAAAATAGATTTTTAAAAATAGATTTTCCATGTGAACGGAGCCTTAGCCTATCTCGGACGCTTTCCATTTCAATGCATTAATATTCAATGAGGAGGTTAGACATAAGCATGTCCCCTCAGATGTACCTCATTATTATATGTTTTCCTTTTTTATTCAGGAAGGCTTTCATTGTGGTTTTAAAACATAAATCTGTATAATAAAGCCTGGGTATGTAAATTATTCTAAGAGGCCATTCAGACCAGAGCAAATATGGACGGACCCTACCCTAGCCGACTAATCCCCTGATGGTCTCCCGCCTCCACACGGGCCGTCCTTGCAGGGGTCTAGCAATTAAACCTCGGAGCCGTGACTTAATCTGTTTATTGTATCACTTAGAGACGGGGAGACCATCAGCGAATTAGTCGGATCTTCTTTCATATACGGTCCACCATAATTGATCCGTGGATCATTAGATCCTGGGATCTTCTGTTCTGAATGGTCTCTAAGGCTAAAACACTTGCAAACGTTTGTATGTAGGTAAACTATCTGACGAGAGCCCAGCAGGTAAATGGAAAGAAGGGTTTGCCTGGTTTGCACCAAAGGTACATAGATATTGTGAAATATTACATCAAATTTAAAGCAAAAATAAGCTACATGTTTTTCCCTAGGCTCGTTTCTCTTTCTTTCTTTATATATTCATTCATTTACTTGTTTATTTTTCTCTTTAAAAATAAATGCTTGCAAAAATAGCTAACACATCACAATAGGCATTTTTTTACCATTTCAAGGTTGACTACACCATTATTGCTTTGGATGAAGATTACGCCGTTGAGTACGACTGCGGGACTACTCTCGGCTTCACGAATTACTGCATCCATATATTATCAAGGAAGCCGACACAATCACCGGAAGTGACGCAGAAGCTCCTCACTTTTGCTGAATCACTTGGACTGAATACAGAAAATTTGAAATACGTTCAGACTCTGCAAACCGGTTGCTGGTAACGCGGAGATCACGCGCGATTTCACGCCATGCAGTATGTGGTTTAACGTGAATTTGCTTCATATTTACTCGAAATTAATGCAGTATGTATACCCGTAGACTTCCTACAAACAATTATATGTGTTGAAAGTAATTTGTGCAAATGTGAAATCGTTCTCAATGCAAAGGGCAGATCGAAGAGACGGAATGACTGAGGGGTTTCAGTGGCGGATTTACAGGGAGGGGGTCGGGGGGGGGGGGGGCCTGACCACCCCCCTCCCCCTTTGATTTCTGGTCCAATCTTGAAATTAGAATATTTACCAGCTGAATCATAGTTCTAAACCGTACTAAATGGCACCGTTCGCCCTCTAAAATACCAATTCTTTTCGGGGCCCGCTGAGGGGCCCCAAACCCCACGCCAAGTGAGGGGTAGGGGGGGGGGGTCGGCTTTGCATCCGCCCCCCTTCAAATAATCCTGGATACGCCCCTGATTTTCTCGGTAAATAGAAAAGCCTACATCTGAACAACTGCGAATGAAAATGCCTTCTCGAAATTGGTGTGTCCAAACACCGAAATGACACAGAATGGCACGAAATGACACCTTAATGTTATTTTTAACATCAATATTACTTTTTATGATTTTGCGCCCAAAATTAGATATTTGTCTTGAACTTAGCACAATGTCTCTCTCGAGATCTATAGAGGAGAAATAATATTGCAACTGCGACGGAAGTGGATGGCCTTGTTGGAAATTTTCAAAATGGTCGCCCTTTTTGGCGTAACTCAAGAACTGCAAAAATATTTTCCGTTAGAGATAAACATTTATTGAATTTTTTTTAAATTTTGGGTGCAAAATCCAAATTACAAGTTATTTTGATGTTTTAAACAACATTGAGGTGCCATTTTGCGTCAGTTCGTGTCATTTTGGTATACATTGTGTAAAGTGACACGTAGTCTCTCAAAATGAGCTCTCTGCAGTTATGTTTATTTATTTTTTATTTTAAATATAAGTGTCTTTTCATGGTTTAAGCATATTCCTAAAAGTTAATCTGAAAAATGTTCACTGTTGTTAAAGCGCGCTTTCTTTATATTGTATTTTTTAAAATATTATATATCTTTGGATGGAGAAAAGAACTGTCTTTTGTTTTCAGTTTGTTTTTTTTTTTTTTTTAAATTAAAATCTTCAGTAGGCCTAGGGCCTAATTTGAAATACACACACATTAATAATTAAAAGTTTGAGAATTACCATGGAAGGAAGAGAAAACAAACAAGAGTCGAAAAACACTATATATCAGATAAAGATAGCACCTAGTCTGTTTTTCATTAGAACTTTAATTCATGTTTATTCTGCATATTTAATCTTTCCGAAATAGATTACTTAAAAGATANTTAAAAGTTTGACAATTACCATGGAAGGAAGAGAAAACAAACAAGAGTCGAAAAACACTATATATCAGATAAAGATAGCACCTTGTCTGTTTTTCATTAGAACCTTCATGTTTATTCTGCATATTTAATCTTTCCGAAATACATTACTAAAAAGATATCCAATTATTTATATAATTTCCCATATAATGTTTATATACTGGCACTATGAAATCGGGGCAGCCAATTTCTCATTTGCTACTTACCATATTTTGCCAATTACATGTAAGAGTACACTTACACAATTTACACTTTCCTTTATATGTAATAAGGCGTCGATAAACGTTCCCTTTGTCCGAATATAATAATAATATAGTGGAAATTTGTACACATACAGGTATAGGTAATGGATAGGTCAAGTAAATCCGCTTTTGAAAAAACGCTTTAGTTTTTAAACTTCTAGATTTGAATTGATATACAGATGAAAATTTAATGGGAAAAAAGTAAACCGTTGTAAAAGAGGCTGCTACCTGTACATGTACTGCTACATGTTTCAAATGACCTCATTCACGTGACAGACCCGTCACGCTGCGGAGGTTAGAACACATTTGGTCTTTTTTTTTAACAATTTAATTTTTGACCGTCTCTGCACGAGACACAAAGAAGAACTTACTTCGCTGTAAAAACCAAAGGTCTGTGTATTTGTATAAACATGACGACATACGTTATGTACTGCAACGCTTTGCAAATCATATAAAATCTTGAATAAATCTCTGCATGTATTTTAATACATAATAATAATTATCCTAGAAGTCTTATATAGTTAATTATAATTTTCCTTTAAGTCTATATATATATATATATATATATATAGTTAATTATAAGTTTCCTATAAGTCTATATATAGTTAATAATAATTTTCCTAGAAGTTGACGGCGTATTTATACCGTCTGCTACGGTCCGTCTAGTAGTTCTGACAAGAATTGGTTCATTAAGAGATATTGAAAACTGTATCCATTTATCTCACTTATTTCCTCACCCAGTAACAACTGATTAATGTTCTTCGGTAACCTCGTGCGGCTCGTAGAGTACATTACTCAGTAGGCTTACATTTTGCAAAGCGAGGCTATTTCCGACTCTGGTTCCACTATGAGGTATCATGTAATTGGTCAAACGTCATTATTACCATGGCGAGGATTGGATGTCCCGTTATTCTGTTTGCGGCGATCATCATCACAATAAACGACATCACACTAGCAACCCACTTCATCGCTCCCGTCCCCACAGTCATCCTCCTTGTCACACACCCACGAATGTAAAATACAATCGCCGTTTGCGCAGGTGAAAAACGAACCACAATGAGACTCAACTGCGTAGCACGTCTCGTTGTTTTGGGCGCACAGCCCATCCGGGCAGCGGACCTCGGACTCTTCACACGGGCAGCCTTTCTCGTCGCTGTGGTCCCCGCAGTCATCTTCGCCGTCACACTGCCACGAAAGTCTGATGCATTTTCCTCTAGTGCATTCAAAACCGTCGCACGTGCAGTTTATTTCGTCACTTCCGTCACCGCACTCGTCGAGTCCGTTGCAGTGCCAGTTGTCGTATATGCATTTGCCGTTAGCGCAAAGGAACTCACCACATGTGCAGTTCTCTTCGTCACTACCGTCTCCGCAGTCGTCGGTCAGGTCGCACGTCCAAAAGGTATAAATGCACTTCCCGTTGGCGCATAAGAACATGTCACACGTTATGGTGCAGTTGATTTCGTCACTTCCGTCCGTGCAGTCATCCTCACCGTCACACAACCAAGAGTCGTAGACGCACCCGGACTCGTCATGGCAAAGAAAACGGTCGCACGTGCAATTCACTTCGTCACGCCCGTCATCGCAATCAGAGCGATAGTTGCAGATCTGGTCCTGCCGTACGCAGCTGTCATCAGCGCAGTACATGCCGCTGCACACGCAACCCTCCTCATCACTACCGTCTTCACAGTCAGCTTCCCCATCACATTGCCATAGCCTATAAACGCACTCGCCGTTATTGCAGGTGAAGTAGAAAGCATCACAAGTCGGCGTGATGGTGCAGTTTGTTTCGTCACTTCCGTCGCCGCAGTCATCGATGCTGTCACAGATCTTGACGTCTTGGATGCACGTGCTATTCGTGCAGCGGAATTCGGACTCTTCACACGGGCAGTCGGTTTCGTCGCGTGCGTCATCGCAGTCAGGGCGCCCATTGCATATCTGGTTATTTTGTATGCATCGTCCATCAAGGCAAAACATGCCGTCGCACCTGCAATTAATTTCGTCGGTGCCATCTCCACAGTTGTCGACCCCGTTGCACTCCAGTCGGTTAGGGATGCATTGGCCGTTACCGCAGGTGAACAAAGAGCCACAGGTTGACGCGCAGTTCATTTCGTCACTTCCGTCGCCGCAATCGTCACTGCCGTCACAGGTCTTGCTGTTTCGGACACACTGGCCATTTGTGCAGCGGAATTCGGATGAATCACATGGGCAGTCCGCCTCGTCTCTTCCGTTCACACAATCGTTTCTATCGTTACAGACCAAAGAAGCGTCTATGCAAACGCCATCTTGGCACGAAAACTCGAGGCTGCCACAACCGACAGAAGGGCAATTCTGTTCGTCACTTTCGTCAGCGCAGTCTCCTCGGCCGTTACATAGCAAAGTCACTGGAATGAACGTCCCGTTACTGCACTGGAAGTCGGTCTTGACATTTTTATTTACATTACCAACCAATCCCTGCATTACTTGGGTACAGTCAGCCGGAACCGGAAGTGACGACTGAGTCTCATTCATTGGCCACTGGTGCCAATGACAGTCCGGAATATCTGAAACCAGCAAATTTTCACTGGTTTAAAAGCTAGAATATATATTGTATAGATTAAGAACTTATTTGAAAGACATAAATTTATATGTCCATCAGTTGAATTTTAATGCCGAAGTCTTCAGTTTCTTATTGTGCAAATCGTGTAATTTTGTGCAAGTGATACTAAATAAGTTCGTGTCAGTTCAAAAATGAAAACAGTTTTCATCTTATTCTTATTTTTTGAAAGTGACTATGTTTATCCGATGAAAAAATTTGAAGCTATTATCATGAAGCGAACGTGCGATCTTACCGAGATCGTCAGAAGAAGCATTCTCCATACCAGTGCATAAGTTGTCTTTGTCGATCCCCATGTACTGCAGTTCTGCCTGGCAGGAAGCCACCGCAGCTGCAATAATATATATATTCATAATTGTATTATGTGCAATGATATACAAGTTTATCATCTTAAGTAACAAAGCGTTATATACACAGAGAATAAAATGAGTTAAAGCAATTGCTTAAAGAAGCTCTTAAGAGTAGTCCCAGAAGCGTGTTTTCCTTAGATTCTTTATTTGGATAGTTACGACTTTTAACTAGAAATATCAAGGTGTCAAAAGAATTTCGAATTCGCTGTAACGAAACTGAGGGTCCGTGTAACTGAATGCCCGCCGTCCATTTAGTTATCACGGTTAGGGTTAGTCTGACTTAGGTGGGTGAAAATCTAGGGCGAGATTTACCTGCACATGTGGATGGGAAGCGGACGCTCTATCATGGGGGACTCTCTGTCACGTTTCACCGGTCTTATGGTGTGTGTGTGTGTGCGTGTGCGTGTGTGTGTGTGTGTGTGTGTTAGAGAGAGAGAGAGAGAGAGAGAGAGAGAGAGAAGGGGAGTAAAGTGTATTCTAAAGTAAAAAAAAACTAAAAGACTATTCAAAATCGACAGACATTTCGAAATAATAACCTTACCTGTGCACGTATCAGCACAGGTCGAAGCCAACAACTCACGGCCTTGGGCATCATGGCGGCAGGGTGGGAACAACTTGTCACAAATCACGAGAACGAGGTACTCAGAACAGTTAAAGCAAGGGACCGTGCTCTCCAGCGACGAATACATGGCGGATTTCATTGCTGTGGCCTTAATAAAAATACAAACAGCATATTGGTCGATGTGCAGTCTTACCCTGATTTACTTTATTTTATTTTCTTTATTTATCAATTTTTCTATCATATGTTCTTTTTATCTTTTGTTTCGTTCTTTCTTTCTTCATTTCTTCATTTTCATTTTTTTTTACTAGTGGTAGTAGTAGTAGTAGCACATGTAGGAGTAATAGTAGTTTCTCATTTATTTCATTTATTATTACTGTGTGCGAGAGAGAGAGAGAGAGAGAGAGAGAGAGAGAGAGAAGTGATAAAAGAATACAAATATACATTGTAATTCTTCATCCATACTATATTTGCCATTGTACACCCTATATGTCTACCATTTATCACTTACCAGATCTTGATGCCCTAGTGTGTTAGGAAACATGACACCCTCAAAGCTGACACCTGGGCACACCGGGACGTCGTGGTACTCACACTTTTTAGGTCCAACTAAAAGACAAATACATGTATATGTACATGTAGTTAAGAATTTTACAAGCTCTCCTTTTTTTTTTTTTTTTTTTTTTTTGTAAATTTTTAAAAGTCTTTAATTGCATCAACTTCTTTGAATGGATAGATTTCATATCAAAAGTACTTCAGTTGTTGTAATTTATTCATTCATAGAGCATATGACATCATGAAGAGCAAAAACCCATGCCCAAAGAGCAGTTTTATTTGCCTGGTGACAAACAGAAAGACGTTTTAGTTAATGGGTACATTTGGGCCCCAATTTTACATGTGTGGTACAATAGAATAATCTTTAAAGTACATTAAGCAGTTCGAAAAGAACAGAGGGTTTTAATCGGCCCATATAAATATTATCAATAAGTGTGAATTGTTATTGTAATCAATTTGTACATGCTCTTCTGATATTAATAGTAGAACCAGAAACGACCGGTCCGCTCTGTATCAAAATTTAATCTAGGCTCTTTGCCATTATATTCAAGTTGGGTCAACTAACAAGCTAAAAAGTTACATTTCTCCAGAAAAAAATCATCTTTGATCGAAATTGCTGACTACTGCCCCGTGCGTTTTGACAGCACCCCTTACTGTTCTATTACCGTGAGTTAGGTAAATAAAGAACAATGCCTTGAGGATTCTTGCTTTCTCCATTTTAATCCTACACGAATATATAAGAGGTTTTTCACCTATTTAGCAGACTTTGTATAACTAATTGATTTTAAGAGCACCTGCTTCATGAGAATTAGTGCCTGGGGCGGTGCCATTTAAGCATTGGCAAAAAGCATTAGCAAGAATTTACTTCCTGAAATCAGCCAAGAAATGTTTTTTTAAGTATTGCTACACATTGTTATATGAGGCGTTACTTTACGTAACATCTAACGGTTTTAAACCAGTAAACCTGTCTGTCCCTATGTTACTCATTTGCTAGTGAAATAAAGTAAAAGGAGAAGAGATGTGTATAAAAATACTTAAACTATTTCTAGGCTGAAATTATCTGTCACAGGACGATTTCTAGAACGTCACTAATTGACAGTTCGGCTGGTGTTTCAACGTATATATATATTTTTTTTCATCTTTTGAAAGAAAGCAGAAAAGGGGTCCCAGGAGGCCAAAGGGTTTCTTGTGGGTCACCATTCAGTGGACCCATATTTAGACCCACATTCGGCTTTAAAATAGCCATTACAGCACCCATGAAGTACGTATTGGCTACCCTCAGATATCACAGGGACCTCGAGTACAGCCTATAACATAACTGAAGAATGGTCTCGACAGTTTAAAGACAGATCGGTGGCGATACCTGTTATCAGAGAGCACCCATCAGCAACCCAAGCAGGAAGTCATAGGTTTGAAGTTTCCCAAACTTTTACCGCCATTTCCAATGTATTGTTAATAAAATAAAATTCTAATAAATTGTCAAAGAAAAATGCACTGTTAATAAATACTAGTTTGAAGTAATATTATTTTTCTTGGACGTTACACACATTTTGACACACATTTTGATCTACTTCTCTTTATATTAACTCGAAATAACGTGTATATAACCATAAATGGATACATCTTTAAAGTGTTCGCGAATAATAAACACCATAGAGATATATGAATAAATTTTTTGATCTAAACAATAGAAAGTCAAGGAGGAGACGTATTCAACATATTACAAAAAAAAATTAATGTGAAAGTACAAAACAGATGCCGGATGTCGGTAAGGAGAGAGAATAAAAAACAACTTGATATTTTTAAAAAGCACCCTTAGATCTATAGTTTTTACTTGGTTTCCGTGTCATGAATTGAGATACACAGTCTTTTGACAGCTGGAGAAATATAACATGAAGTTCTTTTAAAAACAGTGAGTTATTTGCCATAATCGACAAAAAAAAAAGATGCAATACATTAAACGCCAGCAGGTGATGATTTTCCAACATTTATCCAGAGCTCCTCTTGACAAAGTCTCGGCTTTACACAGACCGGACATCACAGTATTTGTCTAAGACAGATATGAAAAATATATGACAAATAGATGGACCATGAAAATTTTCGTTGACAAGCGTTAATTGGTTGTTGTCAGTACGGGAGGTTAAATCTATAAATAGGACAGTACAAATCGGACAAGTACCTATCTATAAAAAGAATGGGGCAGTTAATTATTTCTTATAGGACAACCAATCAGTGCGTGCTAATGTACGTTTATAAACGCGCCACAACCTGCTACCAACAAAGAATAAATGTATATTTTGAGCTGGGTTCGAAAGTACATGTAATCTAAGATATCCAAGAACCCAAACAGATCTTATATTACCCAGTAACGACAAACCAATATGGCTGTCCAATGACCCGACAAGGCATCGATAACTGTTCACTAATTCCATGCAGAAGTTATTTCGCTGTTCGTTCACAAACGACCGAAAACAATTTTCCTTTGTTTCACGCAGCGTTCTTTTCAGGTTAACAACTGACGTATCAACAAATAAAACAAACATCTGTACATAAATGATATTTTAGTGACTTCCAGAGAAAATTTAACCTCAGGTGCCCATTACCAGTGCATATTTAAGTCCCCTGCACCTGTCATAATGATGTATTTCCAAGTATTGCACTTTCGTATTGGTGCCCAGTCAGTTCTTATCCCAAGGGCAGTCGCGCCGCACAATATCCTTAAACCCACTTAAGTCCACTGCCTAAGCAGATGTGCCCATTTTTTTATTATCCCAGAGGCGATCATGCCCTTCACTATCCTTAGACGCCTCGTCAGTCCATTACCTCACGGGTGGCACTTCAATAAATACCAGATGATATTTTTGTAACCATACGAAGAACCAAGCCGGTATTATGTGAACTGTTTACATGCTTCTCAAAAGCGGCAATGTGGTTCACGACAGAGAAATAGATCAACCGGCCATTTTTCATCTGCTTGAAAGAAGTTTTTTTGAAGGAGACGTGTTTTGGCGCCTTCTGGATACTGATCTGCGTCTTTGAAAGTTCCTGAGCTTATATTCTGAACTGCAAATAGAAAACTTTTCTTCTCTGCCAGAGTTTTGTGAGACTTTGAAAGGTGCAAGCATTTTAGAAAATACAGCCCGATATAATTTCCCCTGAAAGGAATCTCAACATGGAGACCCCTCTCCCCACTGATCCCACGCATGTGGTCAAGGACAATGATCAGTGTCCCGATTCGGTTGGCGTGAGCGCTGCGACACATGGTCAAGAAGATGATCAAGAAGGAGTTGATATGAAGACATCCGATAACAGCACGGAGAGCCTAAAGAGCACGGACACTAGCGGTAGCAAGGAACTCACGGACACAGACCGAGAGAGTCTCAAATCCCACCCTGGAAGAGATTGGTGTTTGATGCCTATGGTTGCCTTGTTGATTGCTGCCATTGTAACCGGTATTGGTGTTGTTGCCTACTTCGCAGATGCCGGTGAGTGGATTTTTTATTTATTTATTTATCTATTATTATTTTTTTTTTTTGCTTCTTCGTTTGATCGTTTATTTTGTAGCGTGTCCATTGCATTTATCTTTAATCCTGTTGCCTTCTTAATGCTTAACAAATATTTAAAGTCACCTGTGTTTATTAAGTAAAGACACATACTATTTTCTTTGACAAATTCTCTTACGTATACCATCTACAACTCGCAGCAAACATAATTGTGCCATCACACTGGTATCAAGAAGTCATTTTACACCGGTTCTGTAAAAAGGATTTTTTTCACCGATGTCCTCTGTTGGAGTTGAAGTCCTACATGTACCATTGATTTATATATAAAAAAAAAGAACAATTGTCTGTGATAACTTTATGCTAATACCTGGTACTCAATGCTTTTGGCCAAACTTTCACTCAATTCATTCATAACCTCTAAATGTGCCATCAACTGGCAAAGGTTATTATATCTCATTAACAATTTGAAGCATGCGGTAGGTGATCGTCCATCAAATTGGAATCGGTGGGTCAAATCAGTCAAATCAAGCACGCCATTTGTATAACTTGATTTTGGATTGCTGGGCTTTTCCTTTCAAGGGTAACCCACAATTGTTATTGTGTGTATATTAAGTGCCAAATTAAGTTTGTGTTATTTTGGTTGTTCAGGTGTAAAGAAGCTAGAGCCCTGCATTGTAGTGAATGCCACTTTATGTCCAGGTGTCCAAACCGCACCGACGGGCTTTCCTAACTTTTTTGGTCATAAGGACATTGTGAGTTGAACTCTTGCATTATCTATAAGCAAACAAATATATACGTACATATAGTTCAAAATGAATGAGGCAAGCTGAAAGGAATAGATCATCAAATTTAAATTAGATTTGGTAACTTTGTATTGTTTGTCTGCTAGAATACATCATGTTTAAAGATGCTCACAAGTGCCTATTTGTCTATTGTCTTATGCTCAACCGAACAATTATAAAAACACAAAGGGAATTTTATTTAAGTTGATTTTTTTCTTTTTCTGCCAGAAAGAGGCTATGGAATCGAGTACATACTTAGCAATGCAGTCTATGGTGTTATGCCCTTCCTGTTCTTTGTATCTGTTGCCATTCCTGTGTGACGTCATGTTTCCGAGATGTTACCATGACAACAACGGAAGAGTATCTTCGGTTCTGCCTTGTACGGATATTTGCACATGTAAGCTATAATACCGTTTTTTGTTTTGTTTTGTTTTATTATTTTACATATATCATTAAAAAGTGCTGTATTTTGTTTAAATTTTATCCCTTTATATTGAAATACTTTAATTAAGTAATTGTGCTAGTTGGAAGTTTTTTACCACATCTGTTGATGACTTCAAATGGCCAAACACACATTCTGGACATCATAAGGATCCATGACAACCACTACTACTACTACTACTACTACTACTACTACAACAACAACAACAATAACAAAATACGCGGGGCTGCAAAATGAGCAAAAGTATTAGTGTTAGAAGAGTTTCACTTGGTCATGAAATGTGTTCTATTCTTGCAGTCGTTACAAAAGCCTGCCAGAAAGAGATGACGAAGATGGGAATCAACACAACATCGTTCTGCACTGAATTGACCTCTGCGGCGTCACTGACTACCGGTAAGCTATACCTCAAACAATAGTACATGTCATTTTATTTTAGAGAAAATTGAGATGATTTTGATATCGGACATTTCTGGACTGCCATTTATTTCAGGCCCCCCTCGTTGTGACTGGTACAACTTCAACGAAGAAACAACTCGGATACTCTCCCTAACAAAAACGAATGGGGCGAAGGAACCTCAATGCACTATTAATGGAAAACCTTTGGGCCAGTCACATTATCGGTGTGATAGCGGGGCAATTATTGCAATTGCACTAAGGTGTAACAGACGTGACGATTGCGTTGACGGAAGTGACGAAATAAACTGCCCAACAGCGTGCGGGCGACTGCAGACCCAGTGCGCAAACGGCGAGTGTGTGTGGATTTCTCTCCTGTGCGACAGAATTCGAGATTGTCAAGACGGAAGTGACGAAAGCGGGTGTTTCTATTGTGACGCAGACAGGGAGATCCAGTGCAACAATACCAAGTGTGTGTCGAAGTCAAACACGTGCGATTTAACCGACGACTGTGGAGATGGTACGGACGAGTGGAACTGCGACTGCGCCAGTCACGGGCACTACCAGTGCTCCAACGGACAGTGCGCCCAATCTGGTTCGGAATGCGACGGGAGCGAGGACTGTGAGGACGGGAGCGACGAAGCGGACTGCGAGTGCGACCAATTTCCGTGCGCTAATGGCAAATGCATTTTCAATTTCTGGGTGTGTGATGGCATGGACGACTGCGGGGACGGAAGCGACGAGAAGGCGACCATGTGCGTATGCGACGGTTTTGAGTGCGGCGACGGCAAGTGCATCAAGTCACATTGGGTCTGTGACCAATGGTTGGACTGTGACGACGGCAGTGACGAAGGCAACTGCACGTGTGATGGTTTTGTCTGCGACAACGGCTTATGTATTTACGAATCACAAGTGTGCAACCTTTTTGATTCGTGTGGTGACGGAAGTGACGAAAGAAACTGCTCGGAGTTGTGTGAAGGCCTTTACTGTGGACCCGGTGATTTTTGCTTTCCTGACAAAAGCGCTGTATTTTGTGACGGGTACTCTCACTGCAAAGATGGACGTGATGAAGAAGAAGACATGTGTTGTAATGCCACCGATTTCAGGTGCGTGGGAAACACCCTATGTATTGCACCTCACAAAGTATGTGACGGAAAAAGAGACTGCTATGACCAGAGCGACGAACGCAACTGCTCCTCGTGCGGGGAGTCGCAGTTTCGCTGCGATAACGGTAACTGTATCATGGGGTTCTCGTACTGTGACCTCGATGACGATTGTCTCGACGGAAGTGACGAAGGAAACTGCACGTGTTTTGATTCGACGTATTTTCAGTGCCGAGATGGGGAGTGTATAAAATCTAGGTGGCTGTGTGATGATTACCTGGACTGTGATGACGGAAGTGATGAAGAGGACTGCTTTGATTGAGACACTCTATCCTCCATCATCATGCAGGGGAGAGCCCTTATGTTGACACAGAGGCACGTTCCCATCGTATTCTACCAGTAATTCTGCCGGTATAATAGATTTTGAGGCACTCACATACGTCACGCTTTATCGAATTCGTGTGAATCTAATAGAGGGCGGACTCCCTGTTATTCGGAACCACAGTTTCTTTAGACCACTGCACCATGCATTTATTTATGTACTTACTTGTTTTTGTCATTAGAAAAAGCCTGAAATCCTAAATAGTGGGCCGCATCCATTTAAAAGTACTTCTAACTGTGGCGGTATATTATTATTATTATTATTATTATTATTATTATTATTATTATTTTGTCCGAACCAGTGTTTGTATTTTTATACAGTAAGCGTTAAGAGATTCTTTTTTCGATCTTCACTATTTGTAAATTAAGTTTATTTATTTTAGAAAAATGCCTGAAATCGTCGTATCCTTCCATTGTGTATTTAGCCAAGACTTCTCATCCTCCAGAATGCAACTAGAAAAATTATACGGAGACTTTTAGAATAATATAATTATATGATGGCGCGTAAAAGAATAGATGTAATAATTTATGTATAAATTGCACTGTTGTTATTTTCTGTGTATAGTATAATTGTTTTGTCGTATACACCATTTTGTCTTAGTGTGTGCACATTTAACCAAGATCATGATATTAATAAAGTGCGGACCACAGAATACGTAGTGGCAGTTTTATTGAATTTTAGAACTATTTAATGTAACTTTTGAGAATTCAGTAGTGTGGATTGACTTTTCTTTGGTAGGCTTATGCATCTAAATAACTGCGTCATCTTTTACGTAATTGTTCCAGTTGGTCCCTATTTATATCTGTTGTACTAAGAGTATATAACAACACCCAGGCCCGTAGCCAGCAATTTCAAAAGGGGGGTTCTTTTTCTGAAAAAGTAGACCCTTTTCCATACAAACTTCATGAACCTAGGTCAAATTTTACCCAGAGTGGACCTTTTCCCAGCAAAAGGGGTGGTTCTTTCGAACCCCCCGAACCCCCCCTGGCTACGGGCCTGACACCTGTATCTCCTCCTTCACTTTCAACCTGAACGTGCCGCCACTTGAGATCTCAAATGCAAAATTGGTTCAAATAGACCATGAGGGTCAACCCTCGACCAAGTGAATTAACTCCCCACAACAGAAAATATATCATTTAAAATGTGTGATTATAAAAGTTGATAATTGCGGCGTAGTGCTGACAGGTGTAACAGGGATGGCAATCCTAGGAATGCAAGTCCGGCTCCCGTATGCTTAGTATCGGTAAGGGTTAGTTGGAGCATTGGGGTTAGTATATGGGACCAATGTCACCTGTACAAAGTAATGGAAAGCGAACTACGGTTCCTAGCGGACTTCCATCCCTGTTACACCGGCCTCACCACCAAATCTCAGCAAAATGGTGCCCGTGTTCATCTCGTGTGACAAAACGAGAGTCAAAGTTAATTTGAATATTTCCTCAAGAATCATGGCGTTTGCGAGAATCCCATCCGATTTAAAATCAGAAAATGTGAAGAAAATCACGTGACGAGGCCAAGCTGGGAATGGTAGAGGAGATAAATATTCAAGTCAGGGCCCGAAAAATATCTATCTGTTAAGGAGGGCTACGGGTTGTTTGTCTGACTAAGTATATGTTCAAGCAAAGAAATTGTTCGATTATACATATATTTATTGAGCTAGTACTCATCTGATATCTATAAATCATCACCTAAAGCAGGTTGGGCAGGGTTTGCAAGAGAACAGAAATTGTTCTATTTCACTAATGGTCATTGAATCTGATGCAACCGAACAAAGCTAATATCATGGTACCGTCAAATAATGCAGTGTTAGGCCTACAGTGTATATGTCGCTTTTTCTACAGCCAGACTGGGTGGGTTTGAAAGAGTTTGAAAGCCGTCGGTCTTGTAAACATTCGCCGTTAACTTAAAAATTTATGAAAGCGTGTTTTGTACCGAAACAAGTTTGGATTATCACTTACCTTGTAAAAAGTAATATGTTATGTAGGCCGCGCAGCCGATTATGATCAGAAAAGTCATCAAGATTATGGGCCACACCCACCACACTTTAGAACTGCTCAGTTCGCTCTCTAATTTTTTCTCTAAGCTGTCGCTCTTTTCGTGATCCTGCGGGTCTTCTTGGCCGTCCAATTTGTCGTTGTTGACATCAATAACGTGAGCCTCCGGATTTTCCGGATGGGTTGTTCCGTTGGATGGCATAATGTTTTTCTCGCTAGAAGGGACGTTTTGGTCCGCCTCAGACATACTGGCCTACTATGGTGACGTAGATTGTGCTTTCGGTCGACACTGGATCTACGAAACTTCAAATATAATAGAAAAAGGAAAGAATATCGCAGCTTTATTTATAACTCGACTGACGACACGGGATTTATCCAATAACAGATAAAATAAATAATGGAGGTAGACGCCAGCACAGAGCCCTAGGGGATATGGGAATGGCCAATGGCTTCATCGGTAATGTTCGTGACCAGGAGAAATATACATTTAAAAGCTGGTGAACGTCTTATTTATTCCAGCAGCGACCACGATCAAACAGCACAATGGTATTGTACATGTTGGCGTTTCTCTTATAAAGTTCTCTCTCAAAATAAAAATAACACGTGATTCGTCATTTTCAAAATCGATAATATCTATGTAGAATGCCCAAGCAATACTAAATTTGAATAGATAGCAAATTAAATCTGGTTAAGAATTTCGGTTTTGTAATCTTGAGCTGTGTAATGCTTTTTCATTTGGNGAGATCTCAAATGCAAAATTGGTTCAAATAGACCATGAGGGTCAACCCTCGACCAAGTGAATTAACTCCCCACAACAGAAAATATATCATTTAAAATGTGTGATTATAAAAGTTGATAATTGCGGCGTAGTGCTGACAGGTGTAACAGGGATGGCAATCCTAGGAATGCAAGTCCGGCTCCCGTATGCTTAGTATCGGTAAGGGTTAGTTGGAGCATTGGGGTTAGTATATGGGACCAATGTCACCTGTACAAAGTAATGGAAAGCGAACTACGGTTCCTAGCGGACGTCCATCCCTGTTACACCGGCCTCACCACCAAATCTCAGCAAAATGGTGCCCGTGTTCATCTCGTGTGACAAAACGAGAGTCAAAGTTAATTTGAATATTTCCTCAAGAATCATGGCGTTTGCGAGAATCCCATCCAATTTAAAATCAGAAAATGTGAAGAAAATCACGTGACGAGGCAAAGCTGGGAATGGTAGAGGAGATAAATATTCAAGTCAGGGCCCGAAAAATATCTATCTGTTAAGGAGGGCTACGGGTTGTTTGTCTGACGAAGTATATGTTCAAGCAAAGAAATTGTTCGATTATACATATATCTATTGAGCTAGTACTCATCTGATATCTATAAATTATCACCTAAAGCAGGTTGGGCAGGGTTTGCAAGAGAACAGAAATTGTTCTATTTCACTAATGGTCATTGAATCTGATGCAACCGAACAAAGCTAATATCATGGTACCGTCAAATAATGCAGTGTTAGGCCTACAGTGTATATGTCGCTTTTTCTACAGCCAGACTGGGTGGGTTTGAAAGAGTTTGAAAGCCGTCGGTCTTGTAAACATTCGCCGTTAACTAAAAAATTATGAAAGCGTGTTTTGTACCGAAACAAGTTTGGATTATCACTTACCTTGTAAAAAGTAATATGTTATGTAGGCCGCGCAGCCGATTATGATCAGAAAAGTCATCAAGATTATGGGCCACACCCACCACACTTTAGAACTGCTCAGTTCGCTCTCTAATTTTTTCTCTAAGCTGTCGCTCTTTTCGTGATCCTGCGGGTCTTCTTGGCCGTCCAATTTGTCGTTGTTGACATCAATAACGTGAGCCTCCGGATTTTCCGGATGGGTTGTTCCGTTGGATGGCATAATGTTTTTCTCGCTAGAAGGGACGTTTTGGTCCGCCTCAGACATACTGGCCTACTATGGTGACGTAGATTGTGCTTTCGGTCGACACTGGATCTACGAAACTTCAAATATAATAGAAAAAGGAAAGAATATCGCAGCTTTATTTATAACTCGACTGACGACACGGGATTTATCCAATAACAGATAAAATAAATAATGGAGGTAGACGCCAGCACAGAGCCCTAGGGGATATGGGAATGGCCAATGGCTTCATCGGTAATGTTCGTGACCAGGAGAAATATACATTTAAAAGCTGGTGAACGTCTTATTTATTCCAGCAGCGACCACGATCAAACAGCACAATGGTATTGTACATGTTGGCGTTTCTCTTATAAAGTTCTCTCTCAAAATAAAAATAACACGTGATTCGTCATTTTCAAAATCGATAATATCTATGTAGAATGCCCAAGCAATACTAAATTTGAATAGATAGCAAATTAAATCTGGTTAAGAATTTCGGTTTTGTAATCTTGAGCTGTGTAATGCTTTTTCATTTGGAAAAAAAGTGTTGCATACTGAGTTTTATCTGTATATCTGCAGGAAAGCACCGCCTCTGCCTGCCAGCTAAATGGCTTGCATCTTAAATGTGCTGATGCTTTCAGCATGCAGAATCTGCGTCGGGTTTTTTTCTACCGTTTTAAAATGATTTAGCAACGCAGTGAGACCTGCTCATTGGCTGAGGGCAAAATACCTTCTTATTTTTTCTACCCGAATCTGGAAATAAAGCTGTACCTCTTGGACACCTACTGAAGAAGTATAATGTAAATTCCGAGGGTTTGTTTTATCTGCTTATCTAACAGGATGATCGTGCCTTTCTCCACTTCTGAAAACAAGATTAAATAAAAAAAGATTGAGGTATACAGGCTCTGTAGGCTCTTTCACATCGCGTGTCTTTGATGAATATTACAGTGTGCATTAACTCCCCACCATCGGTAACATACACCTGTTGCAAGAGATTTTCCTGCCCGGGGCTTCTCTTTTGTCCTGTTAAAAACTTTTAACCAGCTTCTTCCTCTAGGGCACTCACGACAGAAATCATTACCATTAGCATGTTTGTGACCGGTGCGTTTTTTACGAGGTTCGCTACTGATAAACTAAGAACTATCATGGCTCGTTAAAACAAACAAACTTAAAACTTAAAAGAAGACAGTGCTCTTTGTCATTTATTGGACTTTCAGGCCTTAAAGATTTCTCCACATAGACAAAAATGAAGATGGTGTTCAGACGTTGGCGCTTTCTAACTAGGTGGTCACAATCTCCAATGATATTCTCGACACAAGTATTCATTTTCCTTTATTTCCAGTACTTGGACGTATTGCTCTGAGTTCCCGTTGACCATTGAAAGCTCGCCAACAACATGGTAGCCAATACACCCCATACCATGATATGTGGTGCGTCCAGTAGGAAACAGACGATTGGAAAGACACTTTCTCACCAGCTGTTCTACAACTAATACGAGTCCATTAATTATTTCTGTCAACGCTGAACTTGCTTTTATTTGAGTACAGCCTCATTGCCCAGTTGTTGGCTGATGTCCAGATCTTACTCGACGTAGATGTTGTCTGGCTTTTATCACTGGTCTCCTCATGGAAAACGTTGATTGTGTATGTTACTTTTGGCATTAAACCCGGAAATGTGTTTTGTCCTGTTTTGATTAAATGTTGCTCAACGAGTAAGCCATGTTAGCAGCATTCTATTTCCTGTTTGTGACAAATTTTACACTTTTTGACACCTTTCGTTAAGGGAGTGTACAATATAAAATATGACGACGGGCCAAGGTACAAAAAGCAGCATGTATGCAGTATGACGCAAGGGTGTCTTTGATGTCGTAAAACTGACATTAAATTGACCTACATTATAACTGTAATAAATTGGCATCCCCTTATGTGTACAATAGAAACGGGTTTAGAAAGCTTTCATAAAACCAGATATTTACGTGGAAAGGTTACGCCGGGTAGAGACTCGTTTTCGTGAGCTTACGGACCCCCTGTACGTGATTTAGAAACCACAATATACGACAAGATAAAGAATTGCTTCGATAACAGATGTGATAAAATCGTTGGGTGTATCTGTCAGATTATAACCAAAATCTAACCAGGCTAAGCCATATGCAGGGGGAAAACTGTGAACAACCTGCGCGCGTAACAAGCATGTCCAATAAAAACGAAACTGACCAGTGTGATAATGGACCAGGTGAGGACGCTGCGTCCAGCAGCTCGGTTGCCAGTGTTAAAACCGGTCAACTTGACCAACGCTTTTGGTTAACAGATGCTGACGTCGAAAACAACCATGGAGGCAATGAAATGAACGGTGACGGCGCCAAGGAACCGAGAAGTGCTAGCTGCAAGGACCAAGAGAGAGAGTTAAGTGACACGAGCAGAGACCCCTGTTTGGTCCCGATGGTAATACTTCTGCTAACTAGTATAGTAGCCGGCACTGCAGTTGTTACGTATCTGGGAATACGTGGTGAGTATCGGGATTTGCTTTCGGTTCTTTTACTCATTTTGCTTGTAATTTAATTAATGGCAAAGTTTAATATTTGTATATTGTACCATGTCATAATAATAATAATAATAATAATAATAATAATGTATAAATGTTATTATTTTCTCAATCTAGGTAATGTAATTTTATGCACTAAACATGTATATAAATGTGACTGTGGCTGAGATTGCCTTGAGCCGGAAATGTTATTTGTAGGTTTTGTTTGTTTTAATTCTGTCTTTCATCTTTTTCTTCTTTCATCTGTAGGGTGGTGGGGGTTGGGAAATCAGGTTGAGAGGGGGGGGGGGTTAAATATGGAGAAGTTACACTACACTGTAAAACGATGTTTAGCATTTAAATACATACAACACACGTTCGGCACCTATACGCATTTAGAAATATGTGTAAAAGCTAAGCACGTATAGCTTTTCAAGCGTTTCACAGAAGAAAAAGCTAGACACGTTGGCAGTGTTACACGCTTAGCTATGTGTTTAGCTTCACCGGCATATGGTTCTATAACAAGTCTATCACAAGCTAAGCACATTGGCTAAGCACGTGAGGCTGCTAAACATATGGAGCTGCTATAGGTGTGGAACTCCTAAACGCGTGTAGCTGCTGAACAACAGGTTT